AAAAATTTCTAGTCCATCATTAACTTTGACGCAAAAAAAAGACTCTCTAAGAAGACACTTCTAATCATTCCCCCCAAACATTTTGATGTTAATAAACATAAGAAAGAAGATAAATGATCGCCTTATTTGAGGCCTCAACTAAGTCTTTTTGCCGAATTGCTCTGTTCAAGTCTGAGTGTTGGTTAGACAGATAATATGGAATATTAAGTCTTCTGTGTTTATTTGCAAGAATCCTCAGCTTTCCCTTCCCTACGTTAGCCATTGACTAGGCTAGGATCAGATGGGTTCTTCCCCCTAAGGACCAGTTCAGATGGGTTCTTTCCACTCCAAATTGCTACCTGCAGTAATTTGTTTGCTGCTGCTTATGGAGGTATCCTTAGAGATTGGAAAGGAAATGTTGTTGCTAGTTTCTATTGCTCGTTGCCTCCTTGCTCCCCTCTTGAAGTGAATCTCTAGAGACTTTTCTATGGCACCCAATTAATTTTGTAGCATGTTGACATGACTCTTTGTTGGATTGAGACTGGTTCACACGATGCCCTGCTCTGCATCCAACATGTTTAGTCTTCTTCCCATCCCTTGTTTCATGTTATTTGTAAGATAAGGGACAAGCTTAAGTTTGTAAAGTCTGTTAGGCTAGGTCATATATTTAGGGAGGTCAAACATTGTGCAGATTTGTTGACCAAAGTTGGCCTAGAGTCCCTTTCTCCTTTGGTTTGTTTTATTGATACTTCTTGTAGGTTGCTCCCTTTCTTATGTTGCGACTGGTGTGGTTGTTGGACCCTTAGGTCCACTTTTTAGTGTGTTTTGTTGTTTGGGTTGTTAGCTCCCTTTCTTAGAAAAAAAAAAAAAGAATATTTATATTTTTAATTTTAAAATATCAATAAGTAAATAAATAAAAAATAATTCTATAAATTAGGTAAAATGATGAAAACAAATATATTTAATGTTACTAAAATTATAATATATTAAAAAAGTAATTTGAACATGTTATTTGTCTTTAAATTTCTATATTTTTCAAATAATCTATTTTTAATTAATAGAATTTTGAAGTATTGATTTTTAATATTTAAAACACCTTAAATGAACCGAAATTATATTTATAAAAATACTGAAAAAATTATTAAAAAAAAAGAAACCAAATCTAAAAATTATTATACTTACGAGTCAAAGTATGTATAATTTTTAAAATTATGATATTGATATTTCATTTCAGTTAGTATACACACAAATATATAACAATTATGAAAATTAATAATAATAAATTATAGCTGAATAAATTATAAAATTTAATAATAAATTATTTAGACAATATTTATAGACAGTGAAGTAGTAATGATACATAAACATAGCTTAATCTATTTATTACATGATAATAAAAACATTACACATAAATATATTAACATTTGATAAATTTTTTATACTAAATTATATTAATATTTAAATAACAGAAATACAATTTTTTTTATTCATTGCTATATATTTTTATAATGAATTAATTTTAAAAATAAATATTAGAATACATTACGCTTTTATAAAGTTAATAAAATTTTACTTAATATATTTGTTATATTATTTAACTTTTTCAATGTGTATAGTATAACCTTATATAGCCTTTAATAGGCACAAATATTCTAATTTTATATATAAAAAAAAGATGGAGAGACTTTAAAAGTAAATATTTATAATATGTGAATAAAAATATTAGATAAAAAAGGAAATTTATAAAAATAAAATAAAATAAAATAAATTACATATTACATATATGACTTAAATTGAATAAATGTTTTTATTTAAGTTATATAGAAGTTAATTTAAATAAATTTTTGTGTAAATAAAAAATTAATTTTGATCAATTTTCATTTAAATTAGTAATGCACAACTATATGATGTAGAAATTGATTTAAATCAATTTTATTATTAATGCAATAAAGAAATCGATTTAAATCAATTTTGTTATTATGACTATATTATATAAAATTGATTTAAATTGACTTTATTGTTAATGTTACTTATTTATTATAAAAAAATTAATTTAAATTAACTTTATTACTAATGCTACTCATTCATTATAAAAAAGTCAATTTAAAATTGATTTAAATCAAATTTAAATCAATTTTATTATTAATGCTACTCACTCGTTGTAAAGAAATTAATTTAAATCAACTTTATCACTAATGCTATTATTGCAAAATTGATTGTAATTAATTTTGTTGTTATTAATATTTACTCGTTAAAAAAAAGGTCAAACTATAATCGACTTTGCTCCACACTTATACTCTAAGAAAAAATTGATTATAATTCAATCTCTTTCGGCAAAAAGTAACATTTTAAGGTAATGCGATACTGTTTGGATGGTGTTTATGGTAAAAAATGACAGTTTGTAAACAAATAATCTAAGAGCAATCTGTAAACTGAATTTAGGTCATCTTGAATTTTTTTAAGTATGTTGTGATTAAAATAATTAAATGAATGACGTAAAAAGAGTATTAAACAGGAGTAGTGAATAGTAAATGGGTAGAACTAGATTAAACATAGAAGTTTTTACAAGAATGTGATAAATAAGAATCAAATTGCAGGAACAGAAACAAGCAAAATGAAATGAAACTAAAATGCAGAAACATAAACGTGCAAAATGTAACGTACAACTCCTTAGCAACAACGAACAATAGCAACTATGTGCCTCTGGGGAGCTAGTGTCTGGAACGGTGCAAGGATTCAGCGTGTGGAGGTTTTTGATGCAAAAAGTCATCTTTCAAAAAGTGAATCTTTGAAGTATTTATGGGCAAAAGGACCATCACCGTTCTCCTTCTTTTGCGAGCACTTATCAGTAACTGCCTTCAACTGCTGCTGCCCATTATTCTTGATTGCTTGTGATCGTGCTGTCGCTTGGGGCTTCTTCCATAATCGCTATCGCCCACGATCTATCTTGATGTAGTTGAACCTTTGTCAGGTGGTAAATGCTGATAATTGTTGGTGACTGCTTTTGAGTCTTGCGATAACTTTTGAATCCTATCCGGACTTTTATTTTCTATCTTTTGAGCAGTTCTAGGAGAAATCTAAGAGGCTCATTTAACATTGATCTTAGAATAATTTTTTCTTGACTTCTTTTTTTGACTAATTCTGGATAATCTTAGAGCTCTTCTTAGTTTTGTGGACTTGAGTATTTTCTAACCATTCCCTATTTTTTGAGCAATTTTGGAGAAAGACTAGAGCTCATTTAAGTTTATGAACTTAAAATATTTTATGACCAATTCCTGATTTTCGAGCAATTCTGTGTGTTAGAAATTTTAAAACCCTCAAAACTCATCAAAAGACGTTTAGCCTTGTGGTCTTGAAATAATCTTCTTTATTTCGACCAATTTTAGATATCATCAGTCCAATAACTAAAAAAATCCTCAGAAACTTCTAAAAAAAAAAGGCTTCCAATGTTGTAAATTTAAAATAATTTTCTATTGCTCTCATGTCTTTTGAGCAATTTTAAGAAAAACTTGAGTGTTACAAAATTTTTTAAAACAACTCAAAATATAATCTTTTCAAAAAACTTTAAATACTTCTTGTACCTAATTTCAATAAAGAATGAGGCTTTTTTTTTTTACCTTCAAAAACTTCTTGAAATATGATTTCTACTGCTATATTTTTTTTTGTAACTTAGAAATTTTTTTTTACTCCAAATTGATGGAAAAACATCTCCTTGGCATGAATGTTCTGCAGACTAGCTACCTTTCTCCTTAGTTTGTAGGTTTCCTTGATTATAGCACAGAATAGTCATTGGGGAGAAGGAGAATTTATACCATATTACACACTACATTATTAGTGCAGATTGATATTGGGGGGCAAGTGAAGAAAAACATTCCAATCAAAAATCTCATAACAACAACAGCTTTAAGACGCTGATATAAGAGAAGTAAATTATCGGGATTCAGACAATCAATACATGGTAAATGTTCATAAATTATACTAATAAATTGAAAAGCAAAAGAAACAAAGTTTATAGAAAAAGAAAAGTATAATATAAGAGATGCAATAACAATAGACCCGACAAACAAGTAGCTACCATCTTTGCAGCCATGAATTATGCTCTCCAATTCATCCCTATACATACATTTTTTTCTGCAACCAACTCTTTCTCTACCATTTTTTTTTTCACAACTGAAATATTCATAACAATTGAAATCAAAATGGAGAGACTCTCTCCTCTGTTCCTGTTTTGCTGCAACCTACTTTGTTTCTTTCGATGAAATAATATTAATCGATAGAGAGGTGGCAGTAAAGGCTATGCGTATGGACCCTAAAGATAAGAGGCAACGGTCCTTCAAGGCAGGTGGCGGGTTCCTGTATACGCTTCAAGTTCAGGAGCAAAAATATATTAAAAAATTAAAAAGCAGAATTTTCCCGTAGGAAACATTTCATGACATTACCTCAAAAAAAAGTCGAATGCAGTAACAGGTAAGTTAAAAAAAATATATTAAAATCGACTTTCTAAATAAGCAAAATAATAGCATGAAAATGAAGTAAAAATAGTAACGATAAGAACAAATTCGATTTAAATTTATTTTTATACTAAATATAATCGTGCATCATTGAGTTAAATAAAAGTCAATTAAAATTAATTTTTTATTTATATAAAAATTAATTAAAATTAACTTTTATATAACTTAAATGAAAATATTTAAGTAAATTTATTCAATTCAGAATATATATATATATATATATATATATATATATATATAATATGTAATTAATTTTGTCTTATTTGTCTGAAATTTTTACATAAAAATATATTTATTTATATATGTTCGTGAAAAATATAATTACTACCATCAATCAATCATTTTTTTAAAAAAAACACTCAACCGTGAACCACGAGAACACTGCCACTAATAATGGTGCATAACAGTATCTGTCCGAAAGCACTAGAATTTTGTCATAATAAAGGAGTCACTTACCGAGGGTACTCATCGATCGTGAGGAATCCAATGATAGCAGAAAATAGTGAAGCAATGGAGAAAGAGTGTGTGTTGAAGGCGATTTTCCTTCCTTTTCTGTCTACAAGTCACATAATTCCCCTTGTAGATATGGCAAGACTCTTCGCCATGCACGGCGTTGATGTCACCATCATCACCACCGCACACAACGCCACAATTTTCCAAAACTCCGTTGACCTCGATTCCACTCGCGGGCGTTCCATCAGAACCCACGTTGTCAATTTCCCAGCTTCCACGGTGGGTCTTCCACCGGGAATCGAAGCCTTCAACGTAGACACTCCTCGCGAAATGATCCCCAAAATATACATGGGTTTGGCCATTCTCCAACCACAGTTCGAACAACTATTCCACGACCTTCAACCCGATTTCATCGTCACCGATATGTTCCACCCTTGGACTGCCGATGTTGCCGCCAAACTCGGCATTCCGAGGCTTATGTTTCACGGCGCTAGCTATCTTGCGCGCTCTGCGGCGCATTCTGTGGAACAGTACGCACCCCATTTGAACGTGCAATCCGACAACGATAAATTCACTTTACCGGATTTACCCGATAAATTGGAGATGACGCGTTTGCAGTTACCCGATTGGCTTAGGTCTCCGAATCCATACACAGAGTTGATGAAGACCATTAAGGAATCTGAAAAGAGAAGCTATGGATCGTTGTTCAATAGTTTCTATGACCTCGAGAGTGCTTATTATGAGCATTATAAGAAGGTTATGGGGACCAAGAGTTGGGGCTTGGGCCCAGTTTCGTTATGGGCAAACCAAGATGATTCGGATAAATCTGCAAGAGGATACGCAGGAGAAAGAGAAAATGAAGAGCAAGAGTGGCTTAAATGGCTCAACTCGAAGCCAGAGAAATCTGTTCTCTACGTGAGTTTTGGGAGCATGAACAAGTTCCCTCAATCCCAGCTTGTGGAAATTGCGCATGCGCTCGAAGATTCAGGGCATTGTTTCATCTGGGTTGTTAGGAAAAACGGCGAGGGTGAAAACGATGGTGGGTTTTTGGAAGAGTTTGAGAAGAGAGTGAAAGAGACGAACAAGGGTTATCTAATATGGGGTTGGGCACCCCAGTTGCTGATTTTGGAGAATCCAGCGATTGGAGGATTGGTGACTCACTGTGGTTGGAACACGGTTGTGGAAAGCGTGAACGCGGGGTTGCCAATGGTGACATGGCCTCTTTTTGCTGAGCATTTTTTCAATGAGAGGCTTGTTGATGTATTGAGAATTGGGGTGGGAGTGGGAGCGAAAGAGTGGAGGAACTGGAATGAGTTTGGGAGTGAAGTGGTGAAAAGGGAAGATATTGGAAATGCGATTGCTTTGATGATGGGTGGTGGAAAGGAAGATGCAGATATGAGGAGAAGGGCGAAAGAGCTAAGTGGTGCGGCGAAGAGAGCTATTAAGGTTGGTGGTTCTTCACACAACAATATGGTGGAACTGATAAAGGATCTCAACGCCATCAAACTTTCCAAGGGTCAAAACTGAACTGAGATGAAACGATGACGATGAATCCTTGATAGTTCAATTCACTCTCCATGTTTTATGTATGTTTCTTTTTAATGAATAAATGGAGTTTGATTGCGATGACTCGGCCGGAAAGATAGCATGAAAGTACAATGTACCCATCTTTATTTTTATTTGAAACAAACATCTATAAATCGTTGCCCCAAATGGAATATTCAAGAAAACGTTAACCACTCGGACATTGATCATCAGTCCGTGCATCTATCTGCCATTCCGAAAATATAATAAAATTAAATCAACACAAGACTTAGACAGTGATCATCAATCTATTATTTTTTAAGCTATGAATGGTCTAGATTTATAACCAAAACAGATATAAAAAATAATTTATAGAAAAAGTAAAACTAATCTTAATTTTATTTTAATTACATCTTTTTTTATTGGAATTTTGAATCCTCCACCCCATCAGAACTTCGAGTGCAACGCTTTTGATGGGTTTGTGTTTCAAATCAACCCAACTTTTTATTAGCAAAGGATGATCTATTTCGCTGTATTGACAATACGAGAGGTGGAAAAGCATGGATGAAAACGAGTATGGGCTAAAATTAACAATTACAATATATTTATTTTTATTTGGATGGACTGAAATTTAAGCATGAAATTTGTGCTAGGATCCACCTTTTTACCATTTCACTCATTTCAGCCCATATGCAACTGCAAATACAATCTATTTATTTTTGTTTTTATCTAATTATTTAGAAAATAAAATCAATATTTTATAGTAAGTTTATTAAAAATAATTAATAATTTTATATTGAGATAGAAATATATAATAAAAATTCATTTTTCTAATTAAAATTATTTTTTAAAGTGTTGTAATTTTTTATATAAACTATTAATTTCTTTTTATTCTCTTTTCCACTAATACAAACATGCGAAATTAAAATTTTTCACAAATTTTTTTCTATTTCTATTCATCCTGACAATATATCATTTCTATTTTTTTTTTATTTACATCATTTCTATTTCACTCCTTATTTTATCTCTCTCTATCTCATTTCTGATAGAAACATACCATTAAAAATAAACACTTAGAATCCATTTAGTGTCTTTCTGTTTGAAGAAAGAAATTTTTTTTAAGATATGAAAGTCCTGACTAGATTTTCGTAGCAAAAAATAGATCATGTATTTTTTTAAAAAAATACATCTCAAAGATCAATCATAAACATATTTTCTGACTAATATCAGAGACAATTATAGGTCCTTACATCTTAACGAGCTAAGAACTTATGAAAATTCTAAGTTCAAAACATGACAAAGGAACTACTTTTTAATTCATTTTCTATGAAGGCCGGTAAAAGAGACTCGTTCTTTATCAAAAAAGAAAAAGAGGCTACACTTCAAAAAAGTTTTGGAAGTTATAAGAAGAGTCTTGTTCCATGTAAAAAAAAAAGGCTCAATTTCGAGAAATTTTGGAAGTTTAATATGAACCTTAACTTCTATCGAAGAGATAGTTACTTTTTGAGGAATTTCTGGGAGTTCTCAAGCCTCGAACTAAAATTAGCAAAAATTGGTAAAAAAATAAGAAACTGATAGAAAAATTATTCTAAGTCAATGAGACTAAATGAGTTCCTAAATTTCCTTTAGAATTGGTCAAAACCAAAGGTCTAACTTTCAACAAACTTCCTTGAAATTGTCAAAACATAATAAGAAATTTATTCTAAGGTCAAGATACAAGATGGAGTTCAGGAGGGGAGAAAACATGATGAAAAATCATAAGGTCTGAAACTACTAGTAAATGAGCGGTTACCAGCAGTTAACACAAGTTAAAGGTCAGAAATTGTAGACACAAGAAACAGTCCTAGGCAACATGCAGACATGGAGAAAGCATGACCACAAATAGTTATGGCTGTCAGTGATTAAGAAGAAGCATTCACAGAAGGTGGTTACTAAGATGTGCCCACAAAAAAGGGGTAGCAGGTATGATTTATCCGCCTATAAATATTTCAAAGTTTTACATTACTTGGACAACTTTTTGCACCACACTTATGCCCAGATACTCTGCACACTGAAACTCTGCACTAAGCTAAATGCCAATTACTAGAGGATTCACATTCCTTGTTGTTGTTTGCTTAGAGTTGTACGTTTATATTTTTGTAATATACCTTTCTGCAGTTTAATTCTAATTTGTGTATTTTTTATTCTTTTTATGCTTTTTCTATAATTACATTTTTGTTTAGTACTTTTCTGTAAAATATTTATACTTAATTTGATACTATTTCTATTTCACTATTCATACTATTTCCATTTTCATGTAAATTTGTTTTTTACGATATTTATTTATTTATTTTAATTAGAACATACTTAAAAGAACTCAAAAAAACTTAAAATTCAGTCTCAAATTACTCTTGAAATTATTTGTTTCTATTTTTTTAAAGCTTCTATTTGTTTTTATTATTTTAACTCTTTAAATTTGTGATTAAGAGTGAACTTTTTAATTATTTACTTTCACGTCAAATAATTGAGTTTCATGTTATTAAAAATTGTAATCCATTTCAATAGAGTTATCTGTTGACAAGTTTCTTTTTATTTTATATGGTATATGCTGGACAATAAAAATATTACATTAGTGGATTGAAGGCCCGCTTTTGGAATAATAATAATAATAATAATAATAATAAATAATTGCATGTACCTCGCTCGCCTCAACAATACATTCTTTATTTTTTAATTCGTATTGGCCATACACACAGAATGATTAGTGGAGGGAGAGATTCAACTACTCTTTCAAACATTTTAAAGCTGATTGCATTATCACCGACATGTTCTACCCTTGGACAACATACGTTGCGGCTAACCTTGACATTCCCAAGTTGATGTTTCTCGGTGGAAGTGACCATGCTCACCTTGCTTAGCATTCCCTCAAAAAATACACGCTCATAACGACATGCAATAGGATAAACAAAGTAGAAGATATAATAAGAACAAGAATAGCGACAATATGAACAAGAAGAAGAAAAACAAAAACAATAAGAATAAGAATAAGAAGAGTGTCTCAAATGATTCAAAGGAGAAAAAGAAGAAGAAAAGAACAAAAAGAACAACAAGAAGGGTATCCAAATAGTTTAATTTTAAATTCAAGAAGAACAAGAATAAGAAAAAATGTGTCTCAAATGGCTCAATTCTAAGCCTGAGAAGAAGAAGAACAAGAACAAGAAAGGTAAAGAGAAAAAGAAAAGTAAGAACAGCAAGAAGGGTGTTTTAAATGGCTGAAAAAACAAAAAAGAAGAATAAGAACAAGAACAATAAGAAATATGTCTCAAATGATTTAATTTTGAGCCCAAAAAGAAGAAGAAAAAATACAAGAACAAGAAGAAGGATGATGAAGAAGAAGAAAAACAAGAACAACAAGAAGAAAAAATGTATCAAAAGGTTCAATTCTAAGCCTTAGAAGAAAAATAACAAATAAAAAAAGAAAAAGAAAACAAGAACAACAAGAAAGATGTCTCAAATGGTTCAATTTCAAGCTCAAGAAATACAATAACGAGAAGAAAGGTGTCAAATGGCTCAATTCCAAGCCCAAAAAAAAGAACAACAACATGAAGAAGGGTATCACAAATAGTTAAATTCCAAGCCCGAAAATAAGAAGAAAGAAAAAAAAAAGCATGTCTCAAATGATTCAATTTCAAGTCCAAGAAAAATAAGAACAAGAAGAAAGAAATCTCAAATGACTCAATTCCAAGCTTAAAGAAGAAAAAGAACAACCACAAAAAGAATGGTGAAGAACAAGAACAAAGAGGACGAAGAAGAAGTGAAAAAGAAAAACAAGAAAAAAAGAAGAGGGATGTTTCAAATGATTCAATTTCAAGCTCAATAACAACAAGAAGAAAGGTAAACAAGAAAAACAGGAACAATAACAAGAAAGGTGGCTCAAATGGTTCGATTTCAAGTAAAAAAACAAAAAGAGAAAAAAGAAAAAGAGTTCTCAAATGGCTCAATTCGTTGACAAAAAAAATTGGCTGAATTTCAAGTCTGAAAAGAAAAATAACAACAACAAAAAAGAAGGGTGAAGAAGGAAAAGAAAAAGAAAAACAGGAACGACAAGAAGAAGAAGAGGGGTAACTAAAGCTCCTAAAGAGCTTGATCACAATTTCATATGGGTGTTAGGAAGAGGGATGAAAGTAAAGATGATGAATTTCTGGGGGAATTTGAGAAAAAAGTGAAAGAAAGCAATAGAGGTTATCTAATATGGAACCACAACTTCTCATACTAGACAACGTAGGTTTGGCCATGGTGACTTGGCCTCTATTCGCGGAGCAATTCTTCAGTGAAAAACTAATGACTGATGTGCTGACAATAACTGCAGAAATGAGGAAACGAACTGTAGCTCTTAGAAATGCTGGCAAGAAAGCTATGGAAATTGGATTGTCTTCTCATACCAGTATGGTGGAATTGGTTCAAGAAGTCGAGTCACTCAGATTTAAAAGGATTGACCCAAAATGAAAGAGATGCCTTGTCCTGTGTGAGTGGAATATGATGCATGGCTGGTGAAAAGTGAACTTGCTTGTTTGGCTCGATACTAAACAAGGGTTTTTTCTCCATTATTTTCGTGAAATTATATCAAGATAAAGGAAAAATATGTATAACGACAAACCGAAGGTAAACATTTCCAGTTATATGATGGATCTCTAGAAAAATATCTAAGGAAAAGTGATTGATCAAGTTAATAGATGATAATAGTGGCATTCAAGGTAACACGCGAAAAATAATGTGAATGGACAGGTGATAATTGGTTGTGTTACATGAAAATCCAAAATTTTATTCCTCCAAAACCCTGTGATTCCTATAGAGTTACCAATAGTTGTCACTTCAAAGCTAAAATGAAAAGAAATATTAAAATTATTGTAACATAAATTTCAAAATTTGAAGGAACTCAAATATTAAGACTTACCCAAATTTCCTGTTATGTTTATGTAAGTGTCAAATATTCAATCTTGACCACAATCGGTTTATTCACTTGTATTAAGACTTACTCAAATATATTGCTAGCTTGGAGAATGATAGAACTAGTGCTAATCACACGGTTCGGAAGGTAAGAGAATTTTGTGTACCAGCATTATTCGTCGGCATGAATAACATCAAATGTCATGATGAACCTCATGAATAAAATATATGATAATGTTGAGGATACATACTTGCCGAAAAGGCAACAATGCAAGTTAATAATAAGCTAGTAAATGGTTTAATTCCGCGGGGGCAGAATTCCACCTTCTTTTAGGGATCCATTATCACATTCACGTAAAAATATTTACATAAGTCAAAACACGCCACCTCTACCCCTCCTCTACACCCATGACTCTATCAACGTAATGGGGAATCAAAGAGAGAAACTAACATGTAATGAGTGCAACCAAATCATTTTTACACCTTAACGCAAAACCAATTTTATGAATATTCTCCCCCGCTTCTTTTGATTAGGGGAGGGATTGAGGTCAATCAAGCAGCGGTCACAGCATATGCCACTGAAGCACATTGTTAAGAGGAAAATGCTTCATCATCACCTAGGTAACAAAACTTTTAGTGATAATTTATGCTGCCACGTGACATGGATACAAGAGTCAAATGACAAATCAATTGGCCAAAAGGTCTAGGTTTGATTTCCAAAATGGAAGCAACAAATTCAGAACAGAAAAGTTCTAGAGCAGCAGTCATAACGTCAAATAACCCATCACAGTAAATTATCCATTCATATAGAAATGTACCAGCGAACATCAGGCACAGCAAGTGTCGCCAAAAAGTATTATTGGTTGACTTTCACATTGTTATATATTAACACGTTATCCAGACCTGAGAGTAAGCAGAAATAGTTAAAACCATGGAGTCTGCATATTATGGGAGCCAACAATCACAGAACAGTTTTAGAACAGACAAGAAATAGAAGACATCATCTAACATACTAGAATAATTCCTAAAGAGAGCAGATATAGCACTAGACAAGAGGTGGGTATTGCTTTGCCTGCAGCCGGACCCTTCTCTTATACTCTGCCGCATCCTGCAGAAAATAATATTAGGTAAGGACATACCTTTGATAATACGAAACAAAAATCTGCACTCCCACCCAATTGGGCAACAAAGTTAATAATGTCTCAATACCTATTCTGATACACTATGCTCAATGATCAAATATTCAACTCGGAGAACAAATATATAAGCAATTCGTAGGGAGCAGGGGCCACATATACAGAACCTTCCGAAAGTATATTATTGCCACCCCCCATTTTGCCTTGCAGGGAGGGATTTCCAGAGTCTAGTAATTTAGTAAAATAATTATTCATATTTATTTATTCTTCCTTACATGTTTTCTAGATCCTTCCCTGTTGCATTGATTAATTATGATGCCTGCTGTTTTTTACTCTTTGAAAACAACTACAGTTATACGATTTCCTGAGGAGAATAGGATTTGCCAGATTAGCTACCTGGATAAATAGATGATAACCTTCTGTCTGGGCAGGGTCAGCAGGATTGGGCTGATCAAGCAGGTCTTGGATGCCCACAAGAATTTGCTTCACTGTTATAGCTGGTCTCCACCCCTAAAATAAAAGAATGAATCTATAAGTATATACATTCAGAAGTATGTTCAAGCAGTCTCTCAATTTTCCGAAGAATATACTTACACTATCCTCATTAAGTATAGACAAGCAAACAGTTCCAGATGGATACACATTAGGGTGGAAGAAACCTTGAGGGAATTTACACTTTGGAGGCTTGCTAGGGTAATCTTCACTGAAGTGCATCGTCAGTGGGAAATAGCCACCCTCCCAATCAGTCTGCAGCAAATGACATGCAGAATAATTACTATACATATATAACAGTGCCCATCATCAACCAAGTTGCTTATTCATTTGCAAATCTAATCCAAGGCATGAAGTCAGACATGATTTACTGACATAAGCTTTATATGATATAATATTTGAATAATTTCCAAGACCTTTATCTATGGCACATTTCTTTTCCATACGATGCAAATATAAAACTTTTCAGTAGATAAATAAAATAACAGCCAATTTGACCCACTTTTTGTTTTACTATGTCATTGTCTTAGTTCTAGTAGATAAATAAAATTTTAAACTGAAAATTCCTCCAATCACATGCCAAAAGATAAGAAACAGGACATCCCAGGAGACATAGAATGTCACTGTGAAAGAATAAGCATATAAAGAGCAAGTTGGGAAGCAAATTTAAAGACCATCAAATCCTAGTATCCTACATTCCATCCAATGACTCAATGAGGAAAATTACCAGGAGTATCATCTTAAAGGGGGAATGCTATTACTGCTCCTAACATACCAGCTGACTATAAACCAGTATACCATCAAGTTTTATACATAGGTATGATTGGCCATTAGACCCGAATCCAATGGCTACTACAAAAATATCTACAATGGGAAGGAGAATTACTACCCAATCAGCTCTATTACTCGTACGTTATTCAATATAATATATTCTATATAATAAAAAAAAACTAATTACACAAATCACTATGTATAACTAATCAATGTCAATATAGATTTTTTATTTATTTTTTACATATCTTGGGAAATGCAAGCAATGAACATACAATTTAATACATTAGGTATTTCTTATTTTGTTTTTCAATGTTGGAATTGAAATTATTTCAATTATGCTGTTTATTACAAACATTATTCACACTGTATGTTTATTAATTAATTTATTGTGCTGAATTTAAATTCAGTTAAATGTTTTGCTTGTTAAGTTTTATAATTAAGATGTGAAATAACAATTTTGTCCAATTAAAATACAGGTAATAGTAGAAATTTGGTATCAAGGTATCCATACGATGCAGGGTTGGACATCAATGCGCATTTTAAAAAACGTTAGTTTGGGAACATGTAGCATAGTGTCCATACCCATTTTCATACTTTTGTATAGGCCTTATGCTTGAAGCATTATACAACTAGAAGAATTCCATACAGTCATACCATTCTTAAACTATTAGGACTACAAATTAACGATCCGTGCCACACGATTGCTAATTCCACTAACAGTGGCAAGAAATCTGCCATCCCATGTGGCCTCTAAAGCACGCAAATGTCCTAAAACGTACTAGCAAAATTTCAATGTTAACCAAACCAATGTCACAAAAAAACACAACAATCCAACGTGGTTGCCCACTTATTATTCTGAATTTAAACCTGGAATCATTAGTTGTATATAAAACTGATGAATAATAAAGATGAATTTTAGAGGATGAAACTAATAGCCCTTAAACCCCAACCAATCATTAGAAAAAAAACAGAGAAAATAGTAAACGATCAGCATCATTGCCTCGTTTCCTCCTCATCGATGTAACAGCATAAGCAAAAGCATGTAGAAAAAATGTCAACTAAATAGAAAATTGATAACAGATACATATATTAGCAGGTGTAGAATTGAAAATAAAAGGACGAGGGAGAAGAGAACGAACCCCAGCTTTGCCAGGAATAGTGCAATGCCAAACCATCAAATTGACGGTACCATCTGTGAGAGTCTCGGGCTTGGCAACGAAACCCTAATTGAGAGAAACATGGAAAGGATAGTAACAGAAAGGGAACATGAAATCGATGAGACATAACATAAGCGAATGGGAAATAAAAAGAAATAAAAGAAGTAAAAGGAGCAAAGAGAATGATACGAACATGAGGATGGTTCTTACGCCATGACTTACGCTCCTCAGCAAGGCGTCCACGAGCAATACCAGACATGTCTCTGTTTGGATTCAATTCTCCACTCCGCTCCTAATTATTTGAAGCAGAGATTGCGTTCTGTTGGTTTCTCTGCTCTGTTATATATTGGATTGGATTGGATTGGATAAACACTTTACTTCTTTCTCTATCACCACAACACAGCACACTATGTTCTGTACCCAACTAACTTTCCCCTCTGCACCGCTTCTCTCTATAACCAACGCTCCTGATTTCATCTTAAACTTCTCCTTTTTGTTTTTCCCCATTCAAAATTGCCCTCCCTATTTCGCGTCAGAATCACGCCATCCTGCTCCACACGCCATCACGTGATCATTCCTCCAGCTTCTTGTTCCTTTTTTCTCCCCCTTTTCTTTTCACGTTTGTTTCATTCGTAAAAAATAATAATAATAAATTTCCTTCTTCTTGTTTATTTGAGAAAAAAATATTATGTATTCATTAAATTAATTATTTTTAAAATAAATATAACAAATCATATTAAGGTCAATTTTTTCTTTTTAGTTAGAAATAAAATGAAGCGTCAGAGTAAAAGTTACGAATATATAAAAAAATACAGTGGCAATAAATAAATAAATTTAAAATTATTTTATATCGAAAAGTTAAGAAAAAAAATATACTCTAAAATAAATGAGTTAGATAATATATAATACTGAATAAGGACAGCGATAATAATGAAATAGGAAGAGAGAAAAACTCGTCTTCCTCTTGACTTGTTCAACTGAAGTGGAAAGATTCAAAATTTGGTGGTTTTATACCTTATTTATTTTAATTCTTACTTTAAATTTTATACTTTAATTTTTATATGAAAAATTCCAAATAAATTTTTATCATTTATTATACAATATTAATATAATTTTCAAGCATAGAACGAAATTTTTAAAAATGTCATGTATTGGAATTAGAATGAAATTTTTTTACATAGAGAAATCAAAATAAATGTTAAAGTAAAAACAGTGTCAAGAGACTAAATGTATATCATTCTAAATTTAATAAATGAAAGAGATTGATCCATAATAATATTACATATATAGACCAAATTATAACTTTTTGCGTAAGAATTAAAACAAAAAATAATTGTTGAAATAAAATTTATAATTAAATTTACTTATTAATAAAATTACACAACACTATTTATTTTTGGTTGACGAGGAGGGAAACAAAAGCCTACTACGAAATATTTTTGATAAATTCACGATTTCGGGAATATATGATGTCAATTGTTGACCAATGATTAAGATATTTGCTTTTAATTTTAAGGACTTACTTTTAAGTTGCCCAAATTCCTATTTGTTTTAATATTTCGTGGTCATTGGTCGCCGCTTCTTCCTCGGACTTCCAACAAGTCAATTGTTTCAATTTGGACAAATTCTTTTAGAGGCATTTTTTACAGTTATATTCATAGTCAGGGAATTTTTTTTGGTCGAGGTGCAAAGGTTGTTTGCTTCAAAACGGTACACAAAACTACAAATTGGGCTCAATGAGAATGAGGCCTGATTTCCTCTGAGGCCCATTTCAATAACCCAATAATGCTCCATCAGCTCTTTTTTTTTCCTGTTGAACCGCCACAGTTTGTGTTTGGTCATTCGAAGCCATGCGGGTTTCAATGTTAAGACACAACAATGACATCACTTCTCTGACTTGGTAATTTTGCCCACCAAACGAAGCACCACATAAAAAATGGAAATTGTTGTATAAACATTACACCTATTTTTGGTGTACTAGACAGTGTTATGTTTTTAGCTTTAAACAGAAATATCTCACCGACATGTAATGAAATCTCCCAGAGCCTACCCAGAATTACCCTTTATTCTTAAGATTTATCATAATCTCCAAGTCCACAATTTCTGTTAAAATCTGCTTTATTTAACGAAAGCTGTATCTCGAACATTAATTTTCTCTAACCATTCATTCCTTTTTCATTTAACCTTGTACTCTCAGGAACCTGAGGATTAGTCATAATAAGTCATAAGTAGTTGCTAAGTTGAATACTCAAAGAAAGAAGTACTCGTATTTCTTTTCTTTTTCCTTTCTTCAGATACTAACTTTTATCAATTTATGTTATCATCTGCCTGGCTAGAAAGTCTTGTTCCACAATCTAAATTATAAAGAGATTTTGTTGTTACTTTTTGTACTTTGAAGTTGTCTTAGTAAATCACTACCAAGTACAAAAAAAGATACTCCACGTCACACGTATTATCAAGGAGAGAAATCACTGCGGGTACTTAGTCCCCTTCAGAGGTAGCTACTTGTTTGATAAGTTGCCAATATTCTAAAGGGGTTACTTAGAAACTAAAGATTAAATCAAGAAGGAAAAGCGACTTCTGGTTTGTAATTAGATATTGGGTCACTACAGGTATTGCCTATACCTTCCCTTATCTCAACTCCAACCACCCCAACACTTGCTCCTCCACCTCTTGCTATCCTCATCCTTGTTTAGTTCAGCATAAACCATCCTTCATAAATTAAACAATGTGCATATTAGGAATTATTAATTAATGCAAAATACCAACCACATAAAGATGGAGATAAGTAAAACCAAATTCAACTATAACAAAAATAACTACTTCGCTCTCAATAACATTATTTTCAGTTCTAGAACCTGAAAACACGGTCATTGTAAGGTCTCACTCATTAGTTTTTTTTTTCCCTTCACATTGCTTCCAATACTTCTTTAAATCAAACCGTCTTCCCCATTTTTCCCCCAGAGCTCAGAATCTCTAGCTCTACCAATCCTGCAAGGAAAGAGAGAGATTCAAAACCCAACTTTTCCCTCTCTGGACCACTCCAACAAACGAACATGAAGAACACAAACACTAACACAAAACTCATTCTCCTCCACCCATATATCCAAAAACAAGGAAGCTCCAACCGATTATGGCTTTTAGCCTTCATATCCTTCTTCACCCTCGCCTTCCTTGCCACCCTCATTTACACAAGAGAATCCACCTCAGCTACCACTATTACCACTGCTTCTGGCATTGCCTCTTCCTCCTCAACATCTGGTTTCAGCAGCACCCCCTTACCTTCCACTGTAATCAACACCCTCCTCCACTATGCCTCAAAATCCAATGACACCTACCACATGCCCCACTCAGACCTCAAAACCATCTCTGACGTGCTCAGAAAATGCTCATCACCTTGCAACTTTCTAATCTTTGGCCTCACGCAGGAGACCCTTCTCTGGAAGGCCCTCAACCACAATGGAAGAACAGTATTCATTGATGAAAATAGGTACTACGCTGCATACATTGAAGAAAAGCACCCAGAAATCGATGCCTATGACGTGCAATACACAACCAAAAGGAGTGAAATGAAGGAGCTGATAGCTTCAGCTAAAGAGCAAGTAGGAAATGACTGCAGGCCAGTGCAAAATCTTCTGTTTTCTGAGTGTAAATTAGGACTCAATGACCTTCCCAACCATTTTTATGAGGTCGATTGGGATGTGATATTGGTGGATGGACCAAGGGGTGATTGGCCTGATGCACCGGGAAGAATGTCAGCCATATTCACCGCGGGTGTGCTCGCTAGGAGCAAGAAAGGTGGCAACCCAAAGACGCATGTGTTTGTTCATGACTTCTGTGGAAAAGTGGAAAAGATTTGTGGCAATGAGTTTCTGTGCAAGAACAACTTAGTGGAAGCAACTGAGACTTTGGGACACTATGTGCTGGAAAAAATGGATGAGAGTAGCGTCCAGTATTGTAAGAATCATTCGTCATCGTCGTCAGGGGCGGCGGCTTCTTCATCTTAATTAGTTAGTGCATGTCTTGGAGATTACTATCATAAGCTTTATTGCATATTGCTATTTATGATCCTTTTAGTTTCATTGTTTACTTCTTGGCCCGAGCTTGTAAAAAATAATTCTTTTTTTTTCTCCCTTGCCATTTTCTGGCGCTGAGGGATTGTAATTTGCTCAATGAATCCATGCTTCCGAATTTCAGCTGAGGATGTTTACATTATATATGAATTAGATTATATATATATATATATATATATATATATATATATATATATATATATATATATGACGGTGCGCCTCGAAGTTGGTAGAATAGCCTGCAATATTCAGTATTTAAACAATAAATAAACCTCTTAATATTAATGAGAATAATACCATGAGATCGTGGAGTTGGAGTAGGTACGTACACACTGAGCATAAACTAACTGTACAGCTTTGCAGACCAATTTTGACGATTAAACTGGAATAGTCATAATGAAGGAAACGGCGCGGTGAAAATGGGCACCATTGTCCATCTTAGGTGGCTGTTGTGACTATTTTTTGACTCTCCCCTCTTTGCAACAGTATAAAGATATTTCCTTAATTTTTTGGATTCGGAGAACTAATTGCATGAAGGCCAAAAGGTTTTAATGTAAGAGAGATGGCTGCATGTAGTATTTTTAATATAATTTTTAATCAGTGAATGAAATAAAAAGATGAGACGCGCGTCAATAAATTTCAATTTGTTATAGAAAATGTGTTAGCTGATGTTACTAACATTTCCCTCCACTAATTCATCATTTGTTCCTATTTTGGCGAAAGCTACGAAATTTTGATGATTTTGATGAATGTAAGAGGGTGGGGGAAGAAATTCATCGGTGCTTTACGTAGCATTATGTCAATCTCGCCGAATTAATGAAATATATAGAAGATCAAAATATGGGGATTCAATTCGGGTAATGTGACTCTATTCAGGACGAACTCAAATTATTTTTTAATGCATATTCTTCTCTATCTATCTCTAATTAAAAATATTAATCTTGATAAAAAAAATAACGAACAAGAGAGAAAATCGTACTTTTCAACTCTACATCACTTTTATATAGATTGGGAAAACAAGAAAGGGAATGAGAAATTAGGACAACTAATTCCTATTCATGATGTTTGATGTGAATCTACGGTAAATGAAACAGGCATTCTGAAAGACGACAATTGACGATAATGAATGAGCCTTACATTGTTGTTCGCTGAATTATTTTCCTTTTTTTTTTACTTCTTTCCACAGTTTCTTAGGGTCAAAACAAAACCAATCCAGTGGACCTAACGCTGACTGTGGCATCGTGAGAAGTCTATAGTATCGTTCTCGGTCATGTTAATATTTGCTTAGCGGGTTTGGTGACAGATTTATGATAATCAGGATGGCAAGCAGGACAGTGCACTTGTACGTGGACATCTAACAACTTAATTCACACATTTTAAATTATACGTGTTATTTTGTGGTAGAAGTTGTTAACCTTTAATTTTAGTAACACTTTTGTGATTTTCAATTTATTTGGCGACTGATTTAATAATTAATGTAGTTACTCTCGCTTTCCATACTCTTAAACTATTTTAAATGAGAAAATTTTAAGAAATTAATAACAATAATTAATCGTAATTTTTGTGTACTTGAAGTAGTTTTATTTTAAAAATAATTTATAATTAACTTATGATTACCATTACTTTTTTATATTAGCTAAATATTATAATTAAATTTTTTATAATAATTTTGAATAAATAAGTAATAATTGACAAAATTCTTATAATACAAGTTTTTGAAACGTAAATTTTTTTAAAAAAAATTATTTCAACTTAACTCTATAATCATGTGCACTAAAATGATAAAAAAATAATAAAATTAAAAATATAACTTATTTTGAACTAATAAAAACAATATATTAAAAATTTGAAAGTTTATATAGGTACTAAAAAATTGTATAAATATAAACAAAGATATTCATTAAAATATAAGAGTTTATATTATAAGATAATAAAGAAGTTTTATAAATAAAATATTTTTCAAATTTCACGACAAAATTAAAAGGTTACGAGTTTTCTTCAAGGAAGGGAAAGCCCCTTTTTTTGTTTGCGAAAGTAGAGTTGTTTGTCTCGCTGCTAGGATTTTCTCAACCCCTTGTTGTGGAGGCTCCCTATACTCGCTAGAGGGCCTAGTCTCCATTGGAGACTCATACTAAGGGTTTTTTTTCCTGAAATCCTGATCAATAAAGAAATCAGATGCATAAAAATGTACACTAGAGAAAGTGGATCTGATCGCCGAGTAAGAAAAAAAGTTAAAATAGCCCCCTCTTCTCAAGATGAAGTGAACAATTTGACAGTAGACATGCAAGAGTATCAAGCTCTTGAAGCCTCAGCTTATCAGGTGTTATCTAACCCTAATTCTATCACCTCCTCATCTTATAAGGATAAGATTTTAGCGAATAAAAATCTTGATTTGATTCTTGATGATACTGAAATTGAGCAGTCTGTGTTGGATGATCTTGACATGCCTATAGAAAATAACAATTCTCTTGACCTAGTCGATAATTCTTTGAATCTTTGCCCTGAAATTAATGTTTCATTAGAGGACTATGAAACTTGGTGTTCTCCTTGGAAACGAACCTTAATCGTAAAACTCTTAGAGAAATCAATTAGATTTGGATTCTTGAGTCAAAAATTGAATAATATATGGAGAAAAAATGGATCCCTAGTTATCCTAGACCTTAATAATGATTTTTTCTTAGTTAAGTTCAAAAGTTTAGAAGACTATAAATTTGCCTTATTCGAGGGGCCCTGGCTCATACTCGATCATTATCTTCTTGTTCAATGTTGGAGGCCTTTATTCAGGTCAAAGGATCAAAATCTTAAAAAAAATAGCAGTGTGGGTTCGTATCTTAGACCTGCCTCTTGAGTTATACAACGAAAGGTTTCTTTGGCAGGTAGGTGCCTGTCAGGGGTCCATGCTAAAAGTGGACCCCCCTACCTCCTTAGTTTTAAGGGGGAGATTTTGCTAGATTGTATGTGGAGTTAAACCTTAGGAAAAAACTCATTCCCTCATTCAAAGTCCTAGGACAAAAATTTAGGGTAGAATATGAAGGCCCACATTTAATATGTTTTAATTGTGATATAGGCAGATATTGGATACATATATAGAAACCCCTAGGACCTACACTGAACCTAGTGAATTTAAAGATAACCATAATGTCCCCATGGAAATAATTGTAAGTGAACAGAACCATACATCAAACCTTCATAAGGATGTACCCAAGGACACTATAGATAGCATTTCCCCTAAACTCAAAGCAAATTTGGATCTTGGATGTTTGTCAAGAAACCACTAAGGAAAAAGCCAAACCATACTAGGTCCTTAGGGACCCCTAGAGCTAGTGAGAGGGGTCAAGCTCATCAATCTGGCTCTAAATTTGATATACTGGGAACCTCAAGCCTTGAACAGGATCAAGACATGTATCTTGAGAAAGTAAATGAAGTTAGACAACCTGAAAAGGGACCTGTTGATAAAGGTTTCAGTCTGTCTTCACCAAACATAAACAAATTACTGATACCTATGAGGATCCTAAATTAGATACTGTAACTAGGAAGCCTCAGAGAGTAAAATCTAAACCAAAACTTGATAAGTCAGTTGGGTTCAAGATAGATCATACCCAAGATAAGAATCTGAATCCCTTTTCTCCACCAGCAAACCCTCTTTATAGAAATGATACTCTCCAAGTAATGAGACAACTCCAACATGTCATAATCATAATTTCTCCAGGGAAGATCTATTTGAGACCTTATAGGCCTCAGTTATAGTAAAAATTAGATCCATCCTAAGACTAAGGAAGGTGACCCTAGTGATAAACCTTCTGATTAGACCTTCATATAGAGGCCGACAATAAAAATAGGCCTATGGTCATAACCCATAATTTCCTTTATAACCCTACACAGCTGGAACCCAGCTCAGCTAATACCCAGCATCTTAAAGATACTAATTCTCAACTTTCTAGTTTAAGATGAATTATCTTTTTTGGAACTGTAAGGGACCTGTAGCAAATCTTTCCCTAGATTGGTTAATGATTTTATTGCAATTTTTCAGTTAGATTTCATTGTCTTGTTTGAATCCAAAATTAGCTCAATTAAGGCAGATAAGGTTATAAAAAGAATTAATTTGGATGGCCTTAGTAGAGTGGAGGTTGTTGGTTATTTTGGGAGAATTTGGTGTCTCTAGAACACCAATAGAGTTCAAATTTCTACCCTTTCCTATTCCAAATATGCCATCCATCTTAGAGTCAAGAACTTTGGCAAGGAGAATTGAATGCTTTCCTCCATTTATGCTAATCCTTATGAAAATATTAGATCTGAGTGTTAGTAAGAGCTAGTCAATTTTAGCTCTTCAGTTCATAGTCCCTGGGTTTTGGCTAGAGACTTTAACTTTATATTATATGACTCTGAGAAAGTTAGGGATAGCCTGTCAATCTCCTTCAATCTAGGAAATTTGCCAAATGTCTGAATAGATGTGAGTTAGTTGACCTTGATTATAAAGGTAATCTTTTTACCTGAAATAGAGATAATTTAAAAGAGAGAATTGACAGGACTGTTACCAATGAGGCTTGGAGCTTAGTTTTTCAGCATAGTTCTGTGATACATGTTCCTATCCCCAAATTTGACCATGTGGGCATTTGGCTCAAAGTCAAGAATCTATGTTCCACCCAAAATACTAGCAAGTCTTTTAAATTTCTTACCCCTTAAATCTCTCATCCTGACTTCCATAATCAAGTCAAGTACTCTTGGACTCTCAATAGCTCTTGGACTGACAATATTGATAGAACATCTTAGTCTAGAATAAGAAAATCTTTGGTAATATTTTTAACAGGAAAAAGCGCCTTTTTAGAATAATTGAAGGAATCCATAATAAATTAGGTCATGGTCATAATCCTTTCTAACTAGCCTAATTAATACCCTCTGGAAAGAGTATTAGTTGATTCTGGATCAAGAGGAAGTCTTTTGGCTTCATTATTATAAAAGTACTTGGGTGTGTCTTGGGGATAGAAATACCAATTTTTTTCATAGAGCTGCAATTTAGCAAAGACATAGGAATTTAATTGAAGCCCTAAGGGATGACCAACGTAACTGGGTTTTTGAGCCTACTATATTGAAATCTATGGCTCTCAAATACTTCCAATACATTTATTTTGACCTTAATCGTCAGAGTAGTGATCTGCCCTGCCAGATTTCTTTTCCTTGCTTAAGAGATTCTGACAATAATATCCTTCTGTCCACTATCTCTTTAAATGAGGTCAAAGCTTCCCTTTTTAGCATAGCTAACCTCAAATCATTTGGTACTAATGGACTTCATGCCATTTTCTTTAAAAATTATTGGCAAACTCTAGCCCCTCATATTTTTAATTTTGTTCATGAGATCTTTAGTAATCTTCATAAGATTGCCTCTGTGAATGAAACTAGGATTACCCTTATTCCAAAGTCTGATAGCCCTGAGTTAATAAAGGATTTTAGGCCAATTTTCCTTTGCAATGTGAGCTACAAAATTATCACTAAGATTATTGCTAATAGAATTAAAGGCTTCCTAGATCATATTATTTTTCCCAACCAATCCAATATTATCCCTGGTAGGTAGGGAATTGATAACTCCCTGATCCTCCGAGAGCTAACCCACTCCATGCATAAATTAAAGGGTAAATGGGGTTTTATGATTATCAAACTGGGTCTTAAGAAAGCCTATAATAGGCTAAGGTGGAGTTTTATCACAGATACTCTTACTCAAATTGGTCTGCCTACTGACTTGATGGTTCTTATTTGTTACTGTATAACTTTTCTTTCCCTATTTCTTAACTGGAACAATAATGTGTCTAAGTCCTTTAACCCTTCTAGAGGCATCTGGCAAGGAGACCCCCTATCTCCTTACCTTTTTGTCCTTTGTATTGAAAGGTTGACCCATATGATCCAAGAGAAAGTTAACAATAAGTCATGGATACCCTTCTCTTTTGGAACCCAAGGCCCTAATATATCTCACCTTTTTTTTTTTTTTGCTAATGACATAATCCTTGTGGCTGAAGCAAATTTGCAGCAACCTCTCATTATTAAAAATACCTTGGATGTGTTTTGTGCAGCAGACGCCATGAATGACCAGCTAGAAAAAGCTTAATCTCTAAAAAATGAACTATTTATCCTTAGCTGGGAGAGTTACCCTAACCCAATCAAGCCTGTTAAGTATCTCCTCTTATATCATGCAAACCACCTACATTCTAAATTCTGTTTGTAAGGAAATTAATAGCAGCTGCAAAAATTTCATCTGGGTCTTTTTAGGAAGGAAAAAGTTTCATCCCATTGGTTAGTAGAAAATTTGTAAATCCAAAATTGATGGGGGTCTTGGCTTTAAGGACCTCAGGACTCTAAACAAAGCTTATCTCTTATGAAGCTTTGGTGGAGACTAGTTTCCTCACCTAGAGTCCTGTATAGCAAATACAAATTCAGAATAGGAAAAGATCCTAATTTCAGTAACACCCACCTAGTATCCAATCTCTAGAAGGATTTACTCACTGTTTTGCCAAATTTCTGCTCTGGGGTTAGTTGGTCCTTAGGGGATGGCTTAACAGCCATATTCTGGCAGGATCCCTAGGTTCCTCAATTTTCTAGTCTAGCTACTTTCTCCAAAACCTAGTGCCTGAACATGATTTGAACCTTCCTGTAGGTTTATTCTCTTTTGAGAACAACTGGAATTGGAAAAAAAATCTCTTATTTCCTTCCTAACCACATTTGTCAGGCCATTACCTCTATTGATCCTCTTTCTAGAATAGGAACCCCTGACTCAGCTTATTAGAATAAGACTAGTAATGGTATTTTCTCCATTAAGTCTACTTATAATATGTTGCATAAATATGATCACATCCCTAAGTATAACCAGGAAATCTTTAGGCGGGTTTGGAATTGGGATGGACCCCTAAGATAACTTTTTCTTGTGGAAAGTAGCTCATGAGAGACTCCTCACAAATGAGAAAAGGTGTAAGAGAAACATGGCTAACTCCCTTTTTTTGTCCTAGATGTGGGGAAGCCCCTGAAACCATTTTTCATGTGCTCAGGGACTACTTTTATGCCAAGTCTGTTTGGGACCACCTTGTCTTCCATTAACAATGGGTGGCCTTTTTTAACAAGGGAATCTTAGAATGGTTAGCCTTCAACTTATCCAATACAAATTATAGTCTTTTTCCTAGATGGCATATTATTTTTGGATTCACCATTTGGAACTTATGGAATGATAAGAATAAGTTCGTGTTTCAAATTGTTTCTATTCAGCCTAATGGTCTAATTCAAAAAATTATATATGACTTTAATTTCATGTTTTCCTGTTGTAGGGACATTCATATCCATCTGCAACAGTTGGTTTATGATCAGGCTGTGATGACTTGGACTCCTCCTCCCTAGGCCAGGTGAAGGTGAATGTGGATGGAGCTGTCTCAAGGTGTCATGGAGAGCCTGCCTATGGAGGGCTTGTTCGTGATTGTAAAGGCCAACTATTAATTGGATTCAGCAAAAAAATCAGCCTTTACTCCCCTTTAGAAGCTGAGCTTTGGAGCCTCTATCATAGGCTTCAGCTGGTTCTAAAAAAGGGTTTCCAATGAGTGTGGATTGAAAGTGACTGCAAACAAGCTATCTCTCTCATCCAGTATGTCCAACCTCGGTCTCACCTGCTGTTTAAGGTAATCCAGGAAATCAGGAGTATTTTAGTTCATATTAAATGTATTTGATTAAGCCATATCTATAGAAGGCTAAGTTTTGCGCTGATTACCTAGCTAAAGCAGGTTTGGAAGGGTTTTTGTACAACTTTGTCTTTCTAGAGGCTTCCTCCTCCCTTTTACTTTATATATGTCTTAACTCCACCATAATAGGTATTGTTAGATATCCTATGTAGTTTGTTTCTATTGGGCTTTTAACTCCTTTATATAGCAAAAAAAAATAAAAAATTATAAATATAAGCATAAAAATTAGTTTATTTTTAAATTATGTTAATTTTAAAAAATGCAAATAGCAAAATGTGGGAAAAAAAGTAGTCTTACTAAATATAATGTTTTTAAATTTGGCTCAAACTAATCGATTGAATCGATTTGTTTAAAAAATCAAACATATGATCGGTTCAAATTTATGTTTATTTTTTCTGAATCAGCAAGTTAAATTATTTTAAATTATTTGTTTGTATTTTTTTTTAAAAGAGAAAGAAATCAACTTTAAGAGTATATTTATGATGATAAATATATTATTAATACATTAAAGTTTTGTTAATATATTAATTTATATTTATTATTTTTAAAAATTACTAATTTTAAATATATTTATTTAAAATATAAATTTTGCCCTTCTCTTTTTCTCCCTCCAAAAAACTCTTATATGTGAATCTTCTTGAGTTATGTAAAATTAAACAAAACGGACACACAGAGATAAAAGAGATAATCAATGAACCAAACTTCTTTTAAAAAAATGTATATAATATTTAATATTTATTATCTATTAATTTAACTGATCACTCGTTGGTTTAATTAATAGCTCATTAATTCAATACTTAAACTAAGTCAATAATCAATATAAATGTTATACCAGTGACTAAATGTTTAACTTTTTAGATAAAATATTTTTACTTATCATATAAATGTTGATAAATATTTATTATTAGCATTTTTTGGCCTAATATATTTAGGTAGAAAATATTATTTTAAAAAATTGCATTGTAAAGTATTTTTTATGCATAAGTGGGAGAGTCAAGTTAAAGTTATAAAACAAGCAAAAAAATATATAAGTAATATACTTTTTAACATACTTTTTTTAATATATTTTTAATTATTAATTAAAATTATAAAAATTATGTGAGTCATATATTTTTTATTCTTAAATTTATATTTTTCTCTTATACTTCTATGTCTTAAATAAATTTTAGTTAATAATAATAAGTGTATTATAAAAAATTGTGTTACTATCCTTTAAAAAAAAAACTAAAAAAGGGTGACATTTTTACAATTCACCGTTAGATTGATATTTTATTATACACAAACAGAAGACAATATTTGCTTAAGATATAATTAGACGTTGAATGAGGGTGGGTACCTCTTGTGAAAATTTGTATCACAATTTGTTATTTTAAGAAAGACTAATCCAAACGCTAGATCCAACCTACATAGGTAGGAAACTTACCTTTTTCTATTTTATAGAATGTATATTTTCTAAAGTACATTAAAAAATTTTAAATTGATGATTTGTTGCTACAAGAATAATTAAATCACTTTTCGAAAAAAGATGTATACGATAAAAAAAAATGTCACGTAGGAAAAAGATATGGCTGGTCATGAACATATTGGCTTGTCATGAATGCACTTAGACTGCGAAAAAGTATGGGAAGAAAATAAGATAAAATAATAGTTTTATAAGTATATGTTTGAGGAATATATATGATATAGGAAGCCACGTGCATGTAAATAGTGAAATCAACTAATAAGTGCAGGGACCTATACCAATTGCAAAGCTAACGTGAAGGCAAAGGCAAAGGAAAAGGAAATAAAGCCAATAGCAAATAAACAAATTGGCAAACGAGGTAGGACCTTCGAGTGCTATAACTTATCAATTGATTGAATTCCACACCCACCCATTTTGACTTTGCAACAGGTTTTCCACAAGATTAATAGACTTTCTACTTTCTAGATTATCAACCCCTCTCTCCCAGTGTACTAAAGTTCCAATTTCTAGCCAAACTTTAATCCTAGAAACCAAACGGTCCAACAAAGATTGCATTAAAAACTCACCTCACCTTCATTCACTCACAATTATTTGCCGTCCCAACCAGCAACTGCTAAGTGCCAACTTAGTCAACCATTTTAAACACGACATATCACACCCCTTCTGTTCAGTTCTTTGACTCCGTCGCTTTCATTGCATTTTCCCCCCACTTTACTCTTTAAAATATTCAAAGTAGAACTCGTTCCACATTGAAACTCCCCCATTAAAGTTGAAGGATGATGAGCATCCAAGATAAGCACCACATGTAAAGCAATCAAATAGAAAAGAGAGGGAGCAGAAAGAGAATAAAACCCCACTTCTTTCTTCCTTTAGTAATACGTTGCCAAATCCACCATGTTCACCTTTTTTAAAAATATATATAGATAGTCATGATGGATTCAAAGTGTTGGTCCAAGTCTTTGTAGTGAACAAGAAAAGATAATGGAATCCAATATTGTACAGGAACATGGAACACCCACCAATCTCCTTCGAGATAAAAGCTGAGTGAGTAAAATTTGCAATTGTACAAGCTATCAATGACACGATGAGAATATACTTGTGGTGGGAAACAATGATTAATTAGTTTAAGAGGATTCTAGGATAAGATTTGTAGCTTCGGCCGCAGAGAGGGTGTGATTGTGATCTCCTTCATAGGTAACCACCAGCATAGATGGATCATCCAAAGCCCGTTCTACGTGTTTCCGCGCTGGACACCCTCTAACGCTGCTGCACTTGTAGTAACCCCTACAATTGATTGTTCCAAAAATAACTCCACAACAAAGCATAAAAATTCAACAGGAAAGGACAGAAACCGTCCATGGATTTTTCTAAATTTAACCTATACCGGAAGAAAATAAAAAGGAAACAAACAAAAAAATAACTCCTCGGAGGTTCAGCTTATAGGAAAAGAAAAAATAATTAAATTCTAGCCATCTAAATTGCATAAATTAGTTCATTTTAATTTTTGAACTTTTAAAACTTTTTCATTATTTATTAACTGTCCAAGATGACATTTATTATATATATTTTTTAATATACCACCCACACATGTCAATTCTAGTTCTCTAGACTGATCTAACTTTTGCAGAGATATTAACCGTTAATTTTATATTTAGCAGTTATAAAATATTATAATATTTTATAGTCAATCCCTCTTATTTTTCATCAGTGTCATTTTTTTTTTCAGGAGAGACGAGAAGACCTTAGAGGATCCAAATTTCACGATGTAATTAATTAATTTGAGAATTTACTAATATATATATATATATATATATATATATATATATATACACGGGTCCATTTTGAATTTTGTAGCATATACCAAGATAAAATTGTTCCTACTTAAGTGGTGGATAATTCATATCAGAACTCGATGTAAAGGTTGTTTATAAAAGTGTAAAAAAAATATTCTAACAAAAAATTACTATTTAACTGCTTAAATTAGGAAGTTATTTTTTTTTATAATAATAATAAAATGTTATATGTTTTAGTACCTTGGATGGGGGGATCCTTTAATAGGTTTCTGTCCATACTTCCTCCAAGAATAATCATCAGGAGGAATGTCAGCCATTTTCAAGCTTATTGCCGGTACCCTCACCACCCTCTTCAACCTCATTTTTCTGCTGCCGTAAACCAATCCAAAACACAATGCTTAAGAACAAAACATCGTCACATAAAAATACATAGGATTTCACAAACAAAACAAAACATAAATACATAGTCGTTTTCCAAAAATCATTTATATGTTTTAAAAAAACAATTTTGAACCAGGACCCATCGCACATATGGCATACCTTTTCTTCGAGCAATGGCAGCGACCAGAGGAACTACCACACTTAGCAGAACCCAAGTTTTCAGAGCTACACTTCCTCTTCGTCGAAGACGAAAAAAGAGGAGGCTTTCCAGCGGAGGATACCTGAGAAAGATTCGTGATCTGAAAAGCCGTCGCCGGCGACGACAAGCACGGTTGTTTAACGTCAGTGTCGCCGGTGAGGGACGAAACGAAAGAACTAGCGGCAGAGGAATGTGAGAAATAAATGGTCTTGGAAGAGTCCTTTGTCTCAGTGAGCCCGTTTTTGAGGATGAAAGGTTGAAGAGTTGGGGGAGGGATCTGCTGCAACGGCGTAGCATGATAGACTCTAGGTTCGGAAGATGGTTGTTGAGTTTGAGGGGTAGGAGGAGGTAAAGGGGCTCTTCTGAAACGAGCGTGACCGGTTCTAGTTCGACCCAGAAGCGAAATCACGTTCTTGAACTTGGAAACCGCCACGTCAGCGACAGCTCTGCAGTCAGTTTCAATTTCCATGGGAGATTGGTATTGTTGTTGCTGAGTCTGTGATAGTAACCTTATGAGCTTCTCCACGCTCTCTAACCCAGACGCTGCTTCTTGAACCGCATTCTCTTCAGCGAAACTGTCGTTCCTATACCCCATCATGAGTTCCACGGCCATAGTTGTTGCAATACCATCAAAGAAAGAGAATTAAGGAAGTGAAATTTTTTTATATGAAATTGATAAAGAGAGTCATCGACATAGGGTACTCTGGTCAAATGATGCCAAAGAAAAAATATAAAAAAAATGATAGTGGCTCGTTTGGTCCACTAGGTGACTGCACTGTCACGTTAGGTTTCCTCCTCGTTCCTGTTACCGTCAAAATGCAGGTGAGATTGCCTGTAAGATCTAACACCAAACAGGGTATTTTGGTCTCCAAGAACAGAGAAAAGTGAAAAAAGTTTTCTTATTTCTTTTTCTGAAGCTAAGTGTGGGGGATATTGACTTTTTCTGCTCTGTGGGTCCCACCCAAGGGAGGGTTAAGTTATTATTGATCAGAGGGACGTTGGGGATTAAAATGAGGTCAAAGGCATTGTTTTGGCCGTTTGATTTAAACCAACGGGGTGAATTTTCGAGGATCCGTTGGTTGCCAGCTTATGTTGCTGTTGACTTGGATTCACACCTTACCATACCATGTATTCTTATTGCTTATTATTAAAAGTTATTATATTTTTTATAAATTTAATGTAATGAATGTAATTTATTTTATAATGTTTAAAAAACTGAGATTAAAAAAATATTATTTATTCGTATTTGCTTTTTCAGTCATTTTGTGTGTCCGTGTTTTCTCATCACCTCCCGTTTGCAGTCAAGGGTTTAACTGCAGAATATCCGGGTCCGTTCGTCAATCACCTATTCTACGTTGTTCTGTTATTCCCTGATGTCTTAGTTTTTTCCGAGCAGTGCTTGCCATTTCTGAATAGCCATTATTGAGGTAGTGTTATAAATAAAAAAAATAAAACTGGTAATAAATTTAATAATTTTGTTCGTAGTACGAATTCCACTAGCCATTATCATCGAAATAAAAAACGGTCAAATATGTCTTTCACATTTTTATATTTTAAGATTCAAATATAAATTAAATTAAACTACAAATGTATTAAATTCATTTTATTTTTTTATTATATCATTGTATAACAGTGACTTATAATATATTTTATTAATTTATTAAATTTAAAAAATAAAATTAATGTATTTAAATTGTGATTTATACTTTATATTAAATTGTGCGTTTTTACTAAGTTTAATATTTTTAATAAATATAAATCTGTCAAAACCAAAGACAAAAAAAATAAAATATAAATTAAAAAACAATAATAAAATGCGAATATTCAGAAAAGAAAAATAATATAGTGAGGAGTAATCTGCCTAAAATCACCGTTGGTATGTTTTATTCACGATATCAGCAGGTTGTAAACTAACACTACTGTTTCTCTCATCCGTGATTCAATGTCGTCGTGATTAAAAAGGAGAAAGACATAGCTGAAAGGAACAGGCGAATTCAAAATTTCCAAGATTGTTATGCAAACATCACCAAAGATGCCAAAGTCAACAGACCAAAAACTTGACATTTTCCTTACTGACCAAAGGAATATATGACATTCACGTCGCATTTTTATCATATTTTATTTTTTACATTTTTTAGATAATTAAATACAAATATATATCTCAATATAGTTTCGAAAATGTGTGCAATTACCCGAATGACTATAACGACTTGGTTTAGTGGTACGATGTTTTAATTGATGAATAAAACGGAGATATGAATTTATTACACTTAAACTGGACCAAAAATCTGTTTATCGCAATTTAGAAGGAAAACAAAAATACCGTGCCAGCGAATTTGGATCCCATGGAATTAGAAAAATAACTGTAAGATTCATTCTTTTTAATTAATATTTGATTTTATAAAAACATATATTAACGATTGAAATTAATATCTGCAATGAATGTAGGTTAATTAATTGTAGAATATTCGGATTCCTTATGAGCCAATAGTTGTACGCCAGATCCCTTTTAAGCATGAATTATCAACTCATTCGTTTGTTTGTTTTTTTTTTTTCAAATAAATAAAATTAAAACGTGTATTTTTAATTAAAAGCAAAAATAATCTATTTTAATTAAAATACATATTCTCTATAATTGACATATGATATTATTTCATTACACATTAATTCTTATCGTTATAATATTATGAATAGAAGTTACTTTTTACTAAACTATATTTTTTTAATAGTGTTATATAAATAAAGATTATAACATTACGAAATATTGATTCAAATACTAAAATGTGAATTTTTAAGTATAAAGTTTGACTTATAAATAAGTGTAAATTATATTATATATATATATATATATAATATAAAAAATAGCTTTTAAAAAATCTAAAATAATATCATATATTTGTTTTTGTGGTCTGTTTTTTGGATTCAATGTGTCACACATTATGCGTCAAGAAGAATGACCTACGTATCCTCTCAATTTTGGATTTTTCTTGACAACAAACTGACCAAGCGAAGTGACCCAAGAAATAGAAACAGACCAATATAGGATACGTTTGCCAGAAATAATCGATATGTTATTCAAAGGTTATTTTTCAATTGAAAATGTTAAACAATTTTACTGAGATAGTTACAAAAATATTAAATGATATAATAATACGTTTATACCATTTTTTTAAATTTTGTTCACCTTGTTAGAAAAAAAATTGTTAATCTTAACTTTTAAGGTTAAATTTAACTATTTAAAAGCATATTTTTTATTAATAATATATAATTATTATATTAAAATTATAAAAGTATGATAAATATTTTTAATAAAATTTTATCAGTTACTTAAACTCGATCTTAAATATTAAAATTAATTTTTATTTATATTTTTAATATTTATTTATTTATTTAATGATCAAGTTTTATAAATGATAAAAAATAGAATAATAACTAAAAAAACAGTGTAATACAAATGTGGGATCTTGTTGCAATAAACAAAAAAATATCAAATGAGTTATTAAATTAACGAGGGTAAAATAATAATAATAATAATAATAATAGTATAATGTCAGATGTTGAAGTGTTTGGGAGAATAAGCTTTTGCTGTAGGTAGATGAGAACGAGAGTCACTAAATCAAGCGTGTGACTATGAGATACTCGACTCGCTTGAGTTCAATATTTGGCCCAAGCTCGTTTGTGAAATACTAACAAGTGAGAATACAATATAGTAAAGTTCAATCATTTAAAAAAATTAAGGTAAAGTCTTCCTACCCTAAAACTTGCTCAAAACAATTAAATCTGATCTTAAATTAAGTTTTAGTTTATAGTTAATTATTAATTTCATTAGGTTAAGTATGCTGGGGAGGGAACAAGAAAAAGAAATTTAACAAAGTAGACTACTCAAAACTTTAAGATAATGAATGTATGAGTCTATAGACTCTTGACTAGTTCATGTCTCATTTTATATAAGACTTTTTTTTATCCACACTTGATTTTAACAAGATTAAGTTTGATTCTTTGATAACTATTTATTTTTTAATTAAGAACCTTGATTTCTCGTGTTTTATTAATTAAAACAAATACCAGGTTTAATAGTTTATAAGAATTTCTTGCATGGGTTATTTCACAGCTTTCTGAAAATCCAAGTAGATATTTTGTGGCTTGAATTAAGATTTCTTGGTATTAGTTCAAAGTTCGATGAGTAAATAATATGCTGGAGGGATCAACGGGGGTAATACAGGATAAATGTTCCAAGTATTTTCTTAGTCTGGATCTAAATCATATATATTTTCCTTTGAAGTATCCCTTTGAGTTATGGACATCTATAAAACGATGAAATTAATCTTTTAGTAGAATTTTATTCTCCCACAAGATCGAACCTAATATCTAACTTATATGTGTTACTTTTTTTTTGGGTTATTATATGCATATGTATTGCTTGAACTTACCACTCTTTGATGTCAGTTTTTCCTTTTTTGTTTACCATGATTATTTTTTCATTTTAAAAGTACAAACATTATATTATATATATATAAAAGAATAGATGGCTTGGACTCAACAAAAATCAGCGGTTATGTATATTTTTTCCAACAATAACTTAATTCCAAGTCAATAAAATCATGGTTAAGAGCATTTAACCTTCATTGAAACAAAACGGTATTCAGCATTTGCTCCCCTATTTTTGGTTCAACGTACTTCTGTTTGGTTGGGCTAAGAGTAGTTGCTTACTAAAAACAATAGTTTTTGGTGGTCTGTAGATGGATGAGTATGTCACATCAGTTAGCCCAAATGCATTTAATTGGGCTCCCAATAACATCTGATCAGTTATTCTAACCGGGCTTACTAGTTTTTGTTTTTGTTTTAAGATTAATTCATATAAAAAAACAATTATTTACAAAATGTTATCTATAAAATTTGACCCAACTTAAGGAAAACAAAAACACAGAGAAAAAAGACGATTTAAATGTTATCTTTGGTATGATTCAATTTTTAAGGTAAAGAAAGTCACTGAAATCTGAATTTATGAACAATACCTGATAAATGATTTTTCTAAATCATGTTATTCTATTTCATTTCATTAATTTTTAAAAAATTACTAACAATATACTTCTTAATTGTTAATTAAAAACATTAAAATTTATAAAATTAAGAACTAGACGCACGATTACTTGAGTTTAAATAATTTTCAATCAATAATAAAATATATATTATAAAAGAGGAACATGTTATAAAGTGTTTTTATAAACAGTCATTTTTTCCTTGTTATTACTAGGTAAACGAAAATGTGATGACATAGAGCAGCCATTAGGTAGTATAGACCAAGCCAGTTTTATACATTAACGGTGGAATGTAGTAATCAAAAGAGGCCACAGTCTCTACCTAATAAAAAAAAAAATTGAATTAAGCAAATCCCAATCATTAGCATGCTGGGTTTTATTTATAATACAAGTTCTTAACAATTAAGAAGAATTTCTTTGTTCGCAAGCATATATGTGGCGTTGGCTACCAACGATTTTGACATATCACAACTCACCTAACGCATTTGTTCTTTCATCATACCAAATAAAACGTTCTTGCATGTTTATGTACTTACTAATTGCACGGTAAAAAATGCATAGTTAGCCACATTCTGAAGGAACCCTATGATCATTTTGTGACTGAAGCAACCCACCAACCCATATTTTGGTGTTGCCCACTCTACCTAATATCCTATGCCATGGGGTTGGTGCCCTGAAAGTCCTTAAAGGTTTTTGTTTCCTTATTTCCGCAATGTAGCAAAGAGAAGATTTATTGTTATTTGAAGCAAATAATTTAGCATACGCCAAAACTTGTTGCAAGTGATGCATGAGTAAAACCTTCCGTGGAGATGAAATGATGTGAATCACTGTCACTCTCATAAAGAATTGACCCAAAAATTGCAGTAGCAAAAGGCAAATATAAAACGACAGATAAATTACAACGTGGCGTTAATACGAGTTGATGATGAATTTATAGGTAGACATACAAAGACGGAAGTTTGAACGAGGTCAAATATTCACATCGTAGAAGGAAAAAGTTATGCGTATCAAATAATCATCGATTTCGTTAACTTCAAATTTTAGTCTTGAATTTTAATCGATTAATAATATTTTCTTAATTAAAATTTTTATATTTTTATGTTTCTACTATAATAAAACTTGTTAATAAACATTTATTATTTTAGACACTTCAGTTCAACTTTAAACATTAAATTAACAAATCAAATAATTATCGGAGGTTTCTAGACAATGCGTACAAACATGAAAACATATAGAGACACGACATAAGTGCTGCAATTTAGATTCCTAACTGCAACAAAGTTGGAAGATTTTGACATTTACGGTTATTTTGGGCTTTCAATTAGGTCTCTCCTTATTTTAGAAAAGAAAAGAAAAAGTATAATTATTTAAGTATTTTTAGTATTATTTGTCGGTTCGAATTAGAATTAGTCTTTTAAAAAATAATATTTAATATTATTATGTATTATTAAAATTAAACTATAAACTTAAATGACAAAAAGTACCAAAAATATCTATAGAAATGTATATAAATTTTGTTCATTTTAAAAAGTTTAAGTTTTCAATTTACATTATTGTGATGAACTAGGAAAAGCAAAAAATGGAGGAATTTCCAAGACTGTAGGGTTGTGAGAAATGGAAACTGAGTAGAAGTGTGGAACGGAGTACAATTATGGTCCGAGAAACGAGTTATATAGCAAGGAAACAAATGAGATAAAAGACACGTCAAGACAAAAAATAAAAATGTTTGGACCGTAGAAAAAAAGATCAGCAAATTAAATTTTTTGTCGTCACATATCAGTAATTTCCTTTACTTAAGACAACGAAAATTCAGTCACTTCAGCACTATTTTGAGTTGCTTGGAATGGCCGCATTACTTTTTTTTTTTTTCTCTGTTTGGCTGGGGAGAAACGGCAAGAAAACAACAAAAAGAAAGGACTTCAACGTGTGAATTAACTTGATATAAAATTGTTTCAACTTGATTAATTCAAATTTTACTTGTTGAATATAATTATTTGTTATAAGAAATTTTGTGATTTAAATAAAATAAATAAATTCAATCTTATTTTTATTCCATCCAAATATGTTGAGAAAGTTGTGATTTTATTTTTATTTTACATACAAATCGACTTTTTCCGTAATTTTTTCCATCCATCGAAGCAAATATGCCTCTTTAATATTATGTGTAAAAATTAATAAATGTAACTTTTATTTGACAAAATAATATTATATCTTAATAATAATAAATCTTATTCAAAGAAATATTATTTTATAAATACGTCTTAAGTGTATAAATAGTGTAATAAATGAAAAAAAAAACATAATTAGTATATTCATATAGACACTATTAGAGTCTCATGATAACCGTTGACCTGAGGATTCCCGCAGTCTCTCTCTATTGGTGATTCCACACACTCTCTCTTTATATCCATCCGTCTACGCAATTATAATTTTATTAGCAGTAAAAACAGAATTACCACAAAACATCCAATTGAGATTGTCCACGTAGCTGCAGCTAGCAAGTACGAAGGACTGCGTTGTATGCTATTTCTACCCATCGCCAGCCACCACACTGTATTTCTCACATTATTTTTTTTTTGTTAGAAAAATTATAAAAAAACCAAAAAAGAAGAAGCAAACCGGTTTATCCGTAAACCCAAAGAAATGTTAGATGATTAAATTACAGCACCAACAACCTAAAGCCACCACCATCTCCAACCTGCTCCACCCTTCCTCTTCAAAACGCCATCTAATTGGCACTGCTACAAACTACAATCCACAAATCAAAACTCAACCTCAGCGTATAATATTATTAGCCATTACTACTTCAACTCTCTCTCACACAGACATTCTCTCTTCGACTGTGTGTGACGCACAAAATGAAGCTCTCGGCGTTGCAGCAGAGCTACCTTAACCGCCGGAATAACAGTTTCAGAGGATCGTCGCAGTTGGATTCCTCCGCTGACGGTTCCGTCAAGTCGCCGGCGACTATCTTCTGGCTGGTCATTCACGGCGTCTGCTGCCTCATCAGTCTCGTCCTCGGCTTCCGCTTCTCTCGCCTCGTCTTCTTCTTTCTTTTCTCCACCTCCTCTACCAACCTCTACACTGTTCCGTTCCGCAGCACTGCCGAAATCGCCGCTCCTCTCGACGTTTCTCCGAATCCCGTCGCCAACCGAACGGCGCTGGTGGCTACCTCCACCAGCCGCGTGGTGGTCGGGCGGCACGGGATCCGAATCCGGCCGTGGCCGCATCCGGATCCTGTGGAGGTGATGAAGGCGCATAGGATAATTGAGAGGGTTCAGAGGGAGCAGAGGGCGCTGTTCGGAGTGAAAAACCCTAAGACGGTGATTGCCGTCACACCAACCTACGTGCGCACGTTTCAGACGCTTCACTTGACCGGCGTGATGCACTCGCTGATACTGGTGCCGTACGATCTGGTGTGGATCGTGGTGGAGGCTGGTGGAGTCACCAACGAGACCGCTTCCGTTATTGCCAAGTCCGGTCTCAGAGCCATCCACGTTGGTTTCCATCAACGAATGCCAAATTCATGGGAAGCTAGGCATAAGCTCGAGTCTCGGATGCGCCTTCAAGCTTTAAGGTCCACTTTAACCTTTGTTTTTCTAATATTACTCGATTCTTGTTATTATTGTAGTGATTATAAACTTTATGGAGTGTAATCGAGAGCGTGTGTGTCTACTATTTTTGCCACTAGTTAGTGCGCTGGAGATAGTAGCAGAATACAGTGAAAATAAATGATGACTTGCGTTTGGTTCATTTTGCTTTTTGGTGGAACAGGATTGTGAGAAAAGAGAAGTTAGATGGAGTTGTGGTATTTGCTGATGATAGTAATATGCATAGTATGGAGCTATTTGATGAAGCGCAGAATGTGAAATGGATTGGGGCTGTTTCAGTTGGAATACTTCTTCATTCTACTGATAATGAGGAATCTTTGTCTATGGTTCAAGAAGGTGGTGAGGAGGAAGCTGCGTCGACGCCTGTGCAAGGTCCTGCTTGTAATGGTACTGATAAATTGGTTGGGTGGCACACCTTCAATTCGTTACGATATACGGGGAGAAGTGCGGTTTATGTTGATGACCGGGCACCTGTGCTACCCAGAAAGCTTGAGTGGTCTGGGTTTGTGTTGAATTCCAGGTTGCTTTGGAAGGATGTTGATGGTAAGCCAGAGTGGATTAAGGATCTTGATGCATTAGATGGAGCTGGTGAGGAGATAGAGAGTCCACTGTCTTTGCTCAAGAGCTCCTCTATGGTAGAACCACTCGGAAATTGTGGACGTCAAGTTTTACTTTGGTGGCTGCGGGTTGAAGCTCGCACAGACAGCAAATTTCCTTCTCGGTGAGTCATTTCCTCTTGATTTCAGAAATTTTCATTTGTGATGCTCTTAAGTTTCATTTTCCAACTGATGTCAAGCATTTATGTCAGTCATATTTTTTTACTGAAAAAATATTTTGCAGGAAAAATAGATTCTGCACCCCCCCCCCCCCAAAAAAAAGCTAGATTCCAAAAGCATTGCACATTTAACAATTTTGAATATTTGTGAGCTTGAAACGTGTTTGATCGAATGGTAAACTCTAAGAATGCTTACCAATTATCGTTTCTGTGGTTAATGAATCTATGTTGTTATCCTCATAATTATCCTATTTGGAATAGATGCATCCTACATTGATATTTGGGCCTCATGTGATATAGACTCGTTTCTAGGATGATTCATGGTGTTCCAGCTTAATTACTTCTTTAGAATTACCAGCTAACATGATATTGGTCAGACTGAGCTTAGCAAAACATAGCTAATAAAGAATACTGCTGCCAATTTGGTGCAGAATTTTTTCAGACATTATGTATTATCATATTTGTTAACATCCAGGGGTTCTTTCCTCCTTGAAAAAATTCTCACATGGCATACATTCTGTATGCAAGTGCTGTTCTAATTAAAAAGGCTCAAACAGTGCTTCACTCCTCCTTTGTGACTGCTTTTCATATGGGGATCATCTTTTGGATAATAACTACATTATTCGCTGCAAGTGGTTGCCCTCAGGGGGTTATTAAATGTAAGTGTTGAAACCATGATGCATGGTTGAGGGAGGGTTACTGTTATAGGCACCTTGATTATTTAATTATGTGGACTATGTTCAGGTGTATATTGCAGGCTTTCCAAGTCACTAGTATATGTTGGAACTGAAAGAACCAAAATGATCACAAGGAGGTTGGGGTACAAGGAAGCCATAGTCTCTAATTGTTTGTTTGGTTAATATATATAATTGGATATAATGATGGAATTGGTGCTAGGGACTACACTTGAGCCGAACAGTAGAAAAACAGGATTCATTGAAGTCCTCGTATTACATATGAGATCTATTGGAATAAACTTATTCATAGACGGATGCTTAATAGGCCTGTGTAATAGATCCTCTACAATAGGCGCCTTCATCTCTCTGAAGGGAACATTTTCATTTCCCTTTAAATGTCAGCAATTACATGACACTTATTTCGTGTTAGTTTTTGCTTTTAGATGGACTTGCTAGAAGAAGCCAAATAACACAATGTGTTAGATTGAAACTGCTGGCTAATGTCTATTCGAACATAGCTTCAGTGCGATCACTCATCAACAACATCCCAAGGTTTTATTGTGAATGTTTGGATTGGGATCTTTGCATCCTTATTCCTTACCAATAAAATATTTTGTTACATCTATGAAGTTTCCAAAGGTTAAGTTTAAGAATGGGAAAAGGATGTATTGAGACCTTGCTTCAATCATTAGCGCAATCTCAAAATGTTTACTTTTTAGGACATCACATGCATGCAATTAGGTGTGTTCTTATGGCTGCACTGCACCATTGTTTCCATTGGCTTCTTTTCTTCATCTAGTCAACTTTTGCTGATTGGCTATTTTCTGGCTTCTTAAATACGTTCTTCCCCTGATAAACTAAAGGTATTTGTCAAATATGTGTTATTTCTATTTTTTATTCCCTTAGGGTCTGTTTAGTTTTAGGTTATTTTCTGTTTTCATTGTTGTTTTAACTATAACAGAAATGAACTGAAAGAAATGTGACGTTTTGTAATTATTTGTAATAATTAGGAAATGAAAAAAAAAAAAAAGCATCCCCAAACCAAACAATCCCTAAAATTTCCCACAAATGTCATGGAATTTATTTCTGGTCTCATGTCAGGCACATTTTTGTGCTTGTAATTTGTGATGCATCATCCAATAGATGGATGGATTCATGTATCCTCAACTTAGCCTAGTATTTACTAGCATATTTTCTGTCCATGTACCTGACCATATGATGCTATTCTATTCAGATGGATAATTGACCCTCCTTTGGATATCACCGTCCCTTCAAAACGCACTCCATGGCCAGATGCTCCTCCCGAGCTCCCATCTAATGAAAAAGTGTTAATTGGCACGCAAGAGCAGATGAACAAGCCCTCTACAAAGACCAAAACACCAAGATCCCGGCGCAGTAGAAGTAAGAGAAAGCAGAACACCAAAGTGATAGGTGTGCAAATCTCTACACATTCCGAACAAAACTGAGATGTTATTAAGTACATCTGAGGAATTTAGTGCCCTGTGGATACGTGACTGCTGGCCTTCGGCAACAAGAATTTGAATTTGACCAAATGGAGAAAGCTGATGTCTTACTGGGTACATACGTCGGCAGCATAACTTTTATGGTGGACCGGCCAGCATATGTGCATTCCAGTCTGATTTCACCCATTTTTTTTTTATATTGATTTGTTTTCTTCTTTTTATTGAAGGTGCCATATATTCCATTATTCCGTTCGCATTTGAAAGGTAATGTCATTTTGGTTTTGCAGCCTTGCAGGAAGCCTGTACCCAAATTTATTCGATGTTAATACATATTCTTCTCTATAGGATTATACAATTGTCTTTTACTTTTTTAACAGGCAGATTTAATTACTAACAGAGTAACTATGTCCACAACTTCTTTGAGGGAAAAGAGGAAAATTTCAAGATAATAAGATATCCACACTTGATTAAAAATTTATATTTTAAAGGAGAAAGTGAAAATGACGCCATATTTTTAAGATAAAATATGCCTCAGATTAAATCACTGTGAAAAGTATATCTTGGTTTAATATTTCAAAGTGGAATTGTAGTAATTAGTTTGAGTGTGTAAATAGGTGGAGTTTAGAAAGAAAATACAGTAAAAAGGGAAGTGTGAAAAAATAAGTAAATTATATTTGGAGAGAGAAAACAATTTTTTTAAAATGTAAAAATAGTATCAATTTTATAACTGGGTTCGTATGGTAAAGGATTATCTCAATCTTAAGAATGAAGATTATATCGTATAATACAAAATTACAGAAATTTTTTTTCATGTATTATATGAACATTTTCAAATTTAAAAATAGATGAAAATAAAACTGAAATCAAAATGTCATTGTTATTAAATAATAAAAATATACGATAAGATATACTTTTATTGTCCTTAATAAATATTTTGTTTACTAAGTAAATATGAATTACAAATTACAGTTTTTTAAAATTAAATAATTTTACAAATAAATGTTTATATCAAGACACATTACTTTTATAAATATTAATTGAATATATTCTATCATCATTAAAATTTAAATAATAGTAAAAGATTGTATAAGACTTGACAATAATTGGTTGAGGTTATTTTACTTGTGTTCAGTACTTCAATTTCGGCCCAGATCCAATAAGGCTCAAGGGCTGAATGGCCGTCATATTGGGCTCAATTTGGAACTTGCTTGCAAATGATTAAACCGATTTGTTGCACGAGTTAAAATAATATTTTAACTTTTTTAAAACTTCATTTTTTCAACTTCTCTATTAAACACTTATGAATATATAAAAAAATAATTTAATAATTAAATAATTATCTCAATTAGAAAAAATTCAAATATATAAATTAAAAACTAATCTAAAATGGCTGAATGTCTGAAAGAAAAATTATCCCAATACTGATCCACTTCCACTCCCAAATCATTGGAATAATGAGAGATTGGCTCCAAGGAGTGTGGACAAAATAATTACTTCGTAAGTTGACAGCAAAATGGATATGCTTACTTTACATCAAATGGTCCATCACCGAAACCACCAAATCACGTGGTGGCACTTTACTAGTTTTTATTATGTTCATTTTTTCCCTGCCTAAATTATTCACAACTTTGATCCCCCCCCACTTTATATTCATTAATCTTATTTTAACATAAACCAAGTTTCTTTCACACTCTCAGCAACTGCACCAACAACCTTTCCAAGGTCCAAAGTTCCCACCCTCTTTTCTGCTAGTCCTACACTCATACTTCCTGTTTCCTCCACCCACCACTCTGCTAATTGTTAGAAGTTAATCTCTCTTCAATTGTGTAGTTTCAATTACTTGGTGACCAAAATCTTGTTTTGATGCATAAAAAAAAAATAAAAAAAAAAATATATATATATATATATATATATTTCCCTTGTTTAAATGAGTAAACATAAGAAGATTATATCAAATGAATATTTATAATAATTAAAAATAATGTAATAAAATATATAATTTTTTTTATATTTTATTAAAATCATTCAACAACTAAAATAAATAGATTGTAGTTAAAATTATTATTACAATATTTTAATTAATTTATTTTACAGAAAATACTAATTCATAGAAAAATTGAAAGGAAAAAAAAAAAAACCACCGTTACATCCCTCCGTCTCCCCAATATTTTCATTGGTTTTCTCTAACAAAGTCATGGTAATGGAGAGGTGATTTTGTTTTAGTGGAATTTACTTAATTTCTTTCTTTTCCTCCATTAAAAGACAAATCCTCCAAATGAGTGACAATTACACTTACACTTTCCTTATTAATTCACTCTTTTCTTGCTAAATCATTGAATCCAGTTACGGCCCATGAAATTAATAAATGTTGGGATTTTATAAGGAAATAATCACTTATTTCTTAGAAGCCCTTTCACAAAGCTATTAAAAATAAACAATTATTTTCTCAAAATAACCTGACCTAAGTATACACTAAATTATCAGTTAATTTATTTAAAAATAATAATGTTTTATTAAAAATTATTATATTAAAAATATAAAATAATAAACATTTTCAATAAAATTTTATTATTAATTTTAGTTATTTAAAATAATTGTTTAACAATGATATCTATATTTCTCGTTAATTAATCTATAGTGGTTTTTCTACAACTTGCATGCTATGTCAAAAGGTTAGCCTAAGCCAAAAAAAATAAAAAGAGAATAGAGTAAATGAGTAGAGGTTTTAAAGGTGTTTTAAATCAGTAAGAATATGACCATAATATTTTATAAGATTTAAATAATCATTCTCATATAAAATAACTTTTGAAAATTAGTGAAGCCTAAATTATGTTTTAAGACCTCACACAACCTTGTTCAAAGTATTAAAGCAAGGGCTATTTTTAGGCACAACAAGAAGCTGGCGCATGGTTTCTTAATGATGCTAATGAGCGCAGCAAATGCACTCGTATCATTCCTTCAACTATATTAGTTATCAAGAGATTTAGTTGGCAATATATTAATATACAAATAAGAGGCTTATTATTTTATGCAAAAGTCAAGAGAAAAATATAAAGAGATGGGCATATTCAATTAAGATGCTAAATTGCTAATAATTAGCAGCAATGCTATTGTCAAAGCTAGCATGAATAAATGTTCTAACTTCCAATTTGATGAGCCAACGCTTCTGCTTCCATCCGTGCCCATAAGTTATTTTCATCTGTCATTATTCACGCTGGGGATTTTCAGCTATTGACTAAAATCTTTTTAATTTTTTCATAAAGAAAGTCACATGTCTAAAGACATGTTAATTAAAGCAGAAAGTGCTTTGAAAATGTAAGAACTTGACCAAAGCACAGAAACACATTTTAAGAATGATAAATTGTGCTCAAATTAGAAGTTAGTTTTTGATGCAAAAGTGAGAGAAGCATAAGGTGTTTTCGAAATGTATTTCAAGTAAAAAATAAAAATCTTATATTGTTTAATACTAGAGAAAATGATAAATATATAAAGGATATTATTATACTATCTATTCTCTTACAATTTTAAGTGGATGTGACGACTCAATTCATATATATTTGAGAAAGAGTATTAGAAATTTATATTTGAGGTGATTAGTACAAGAAAGTGATTTGTATACAAGGAGTGAAGTCTCATCATCATTCCTTTTATATATTATTTAAATGAACAATCAAGACTAGGATATGATCCAATTCTAGATTAATAAGGAGAGAAAAAATTTGATTCTTTCACGTTTCTTCCACTTTTGTGCTTGCAACTGTGCCCCACCTTACTTCCTCCACACATCTTAGTCTATTTATTAATAGTTTTTTACAAATGTCACCAGAAGGAAATAATCCCTACATTAATATTTTACATGTGGATTATAAAGAATTATTATTGTTCATGTGGGTGGTTTATTACTATTCAATTCAAGGAGCTCTGACGCATTGCTATCCTCAAATTTTTGTATGATATGATGGTTGACATTATGATTTAGAAAGTTAAGCGCCCAGCATTTTATCACAGATCCACCAAGAAAAGTAAATAACACAATAAAGCGTTGTGTAACCAAGCAGTAAAGTTGAAGAGGTGACATGTCATATCATAAATAATAAGGGAAAAACGCAAATTGGTGATACCAAATAAGAACTCTCAAAGCAAATTAAGATGGTATATTGATTGTTCTGAGTATCAGATACCACAGTGATAATTCGGAGCATGTTCAAGCCACTTTTATCCATTATCTGATACTACGAGATATTTTAAGAGTCTTTTCAAAAATAATCTGACGTGCTACATATATTATATAGAGAATAAGAATTTAGTTTAGAATATAATAGCACGCTTTAGAGTTGAAGTTATCAGCAAAATGCAAATATTTGGGCTAAAAGGGTCCCATATGAGCTGCATAATTTGTTCAAGTCAATTACAGAATCCTATTATGAAATGTCTAGGTCCCTTCAAAGCCATAATCACAATAGTCTTTATCCTCAATCACAAACTATTCAGTTGTATTTGTTTATGAATTGGACAGCATCAAGAAACAGACCAGAAGGCCTTGAACAGAAAACATGGTAGCTGTATTCAACAAAGAGCTCTTGAGTTGGTACCTCATCACCCTTAAACTCAAAGAAACCTTACAATCTGGGATCCCATCTTCTCCTAATTCAGGTAGCCGATCAACAGAGTTTCAGCAGCAGCAAAAGCTTCAGCAGGAACCTTCAGAATCATTGCAGGTTGTCATCAATGTAGAAGGTGAAAATTTGCAAGAGGAACCCAACTCACCAGTATCTGAATGGGTGATCTCCATCAATGAGAAGCTAGAGCAAGCACGTCAAGATGACATGGCAAGTTCATGGGCCAAGCTATCAATCTACAAAATTCCTCACTACCTTAGAGAAAGCAGCGGTGATGATAAAGCTTTTGCACCCCAGATTGTGTCCATAGGTCCTTACCATCATGGCAAAAGACGCCTTCGCCAAATGGAGCGCCATAAATGGCGTTCTCTTAACCATGTCCTCAAGCGTACCAAACATGACATTAGCCTCTATCTCAATTCAATGAAAGAGATAGAAGAAAGAGCTCGCTCCTGTTATGAAGGACCATTCAGTTTAAGCAGCAATGAGTTTGTGGAAATGCTGGTCCTTGATGGTTGTTTTGTGCTGGAGCTATTTAGAGGAGCCATAGAGGGATTCAAGCAACTTGGATACTCCAGGAATGATCCTGTTTTTGCAATGCGTGGATCGATGCATTCCATTCAAAGAGATATGATCATGCTAGAAAACCAGCTCCCCTTGTTTGTACTAGATATGCTTCTGGGAATTCAACTGGGTAACCCAGACATGAAAGGACTTGTTGCAACTCTAGCACTAAGGTTCTTTGACCCTTTAATGCCAACAGATGAACCATTGACAAAAAGTGATAGAAGCAAATTGGAATCATCACTTAAAAGCACTGAAACCTTTGACCCTTTGTCCGATCAAGGAGGTCTTCACTGCTTGGAAGTGTTCAGGAGAAGTCTTTTGCGCACAGGACCACAACCACCACCCAGAACATGGATCAAACGCAGGTCACATGCTAATAGAGTTGTTGACAAACGAAGGCAGCAACTGATACATTGTGTCACAGAGCTTAAAGAGCTTGGAATCAAGTTCAAGAAAAGGAAGACTGATCGATTCTGGGATATCAAATTTAAGGACGGTATTCTGCGAATACCACGGCTCTTGATCCACGATGGTACCAAGTCTTTGTTCCTCAACCTCATTGCCTTTGAGCAGTGTCATCTTGATTGCAGCAATGACATTACATCCTATGTTATATTCATGGACAACTTGATTAACTCTCCAGAGGATGTGGGGTACCTTCATTACCGTGGGATCATTGAGCACTGGCTTGGCAGTGATGCTGAAGTTGCAGACCTTTTCAACCGCTTATGCCAAGAGGTTGTGTTTGACATTAACAACAGTTACCTTTCCCCATTGTCAGAGGCTATGAATCGGTATTACAACCATAGGTGGAATACTTGGTGTGCAAGCTTGAGACACAATTACTTCAGTAATCCTTGGGCCATTATCTCTTTGGTTGCTGCTGTTGTCTTGTTGCTACTTACTTTTGCACAAACCTACTACACTATTTATGCATATTACACACCACCAGGGTAACTGGTAAGTACCCCTGAGGGCCTTTATTTCCTATACATATCAGTATATATATTTTTTGAATAACTGATCGTGTTTTATGTTTTGAGATATTGATATTTTGGTGTTAGTTTCAAGAATCAAGCCTAGAAAACGAGCTTGGAAAGTTGGAATCTCGTTAATTCATTTATTTTGTCCCAGAAAATACTGGCTACTGTAGTAATTCAACTTCCTTTTGTAATGCAAATGTTCGCACAATTTTGGCTTAATTGCCTTGCAAAGTTTTCATTTAATATTGAAAGTGATTTAAATTGCAAAGATTGCACGGTAGTCCACCTTTTAAATCTCAGGACTGAAGTAAATTAATTTTAAACTGTAATATGTACAAATTCGAAAGATTCAATCAAATTACAAGTGAAAGCGAATGATGAACCTTTGTTTATCTAACTTTTCATTATAAATTTCTTAGATAAAAATAAAATACTGATTTATCTTTTTAAAAGGGGAGAAGTACATCAAACGGATATTTCATTTCTGTAATCACTATAGTAAGGATTTGAAGAACAAAAGTAAGCCATTGAAAGCCAAATGAGAGCCACTTAACCATCCAACTTCCTGGAGAGACCATAAAATTGATATGAAATTCAATATGGGATACAGGGAACGCGTCATGATAAGGAAAGATAAATATGTAATAGGGATGACGATAAATATGCCAATTCACAAATGTTGCTCAGGTGCACAAAAATTGTAGAGGTGCATATTAAATTTTCGATTGTGGATGTGCATCAAGATCAACAATAAAAATTACTGAACAAATGGTGTACAACAAACCCTAATGCAAAGGAAAAAAGTAACACGACCAATGGCCAGACCAACCGATCGCTTCATCGTAATAATAAATTTAATTTGTCACACTGGAAATACATTTCGACCGCCAGTCAAAAAGCTTAACAAAAATACTTTGTTACCATCCATAAGACGAATACTTAGGCTAAAAAACACTTGAGCATGAGGATATTCTACGACCCTTGTGAAGAAGACCAACTTTAATATAATATCTAGAGGGATTGTTAAGTCAAACCCCAAATAAATGTGGAGAAAGTGAGAAACCACATGCACAAATCACACAAAACGGTCCAGACATTCCAAATGCACAAATCACATGGTAAGAAAATCCCCGGGGGGGGGGTGGGGGGAGGGGGGAGTAAATTGGGCAAATTTATAGGGAAAAAAAATGAGTACCTGAAAATCGCATGATTAAAAGAAAAAAAAAGAAAAAAAAACCGAAAATGACAGATCAGTATAACCCCATTGCAAATAATGAAGGGAATCCCTTCAGCGCAGGCTTCTTAAAATTCTCGTTATTTGGCTATGAATTCAGCAATAAGAGTTTGGCATTTGCCCACCTATACAGAAAGAAAATATTAAAAAAAAAAAAAGAGGACTTTACTAGAAGGGTGACGTATCACACTGGAAATACATCTCCCCGAAGCTAAATCTTCTACTAGGCGTAGAAACATTGAAGATGTCCAAACAGTTGCTCAATTGGGAATTGAACATCCAGATGTCATACGTCCATGCTAAACCTTAAAGCAATCTTCTTCATCCACCAAATCCTCAGATTGCTCCAGCTGTTAAATATACTGCAGTCACAAGCGTGGTTGTGACTTAAATGTAACAAATAAAGTTTAATTAAACTGAAAATTTCAGTCCGTGGGAAGGCTTGCACTTTCTGCTGTTGCTCTCTTTCCATCATAGCGCTAAAAGTAAAATAGACAAAAGTAAAGCTTAACATTAGTAACAAAGATGTAATCCTAAATAATAAAAAAACCTCTAATGAATTAATAATCAACAGCATCTACCACAACAATTTTGAATGAAAAAAATAAAATACCTGTTTCCCAAATGAGAACGGTACATATTTATATTTGATCATGTGTGATATCTGTCTCCTCATAGTGAGTGTGAACAGGACAACCCAGTAGAAGAGAAGTATGGGCCAGAACACTGGAACATCAAACGCACTAAAGAAAGTCATGACAAATGCAATACAAAATGCTTTCGTGATCGAGTACCTGCCCACAAAGTAAAATTAAGCAACTTCAGTAAAAACAATCGTCTGCATATTAAAATAATTCCAAACATCCTTTCTTAAGCATACAATAAACTTAATTCCACCACTTCAAGCAGTAAAAACCAAATAGAACTAATAACAACTTCTCAATAGCACTCTTTAATGTCTAAAATAACCCTTCATATCATTAAGTACAACTAGAAGGGGGTGAGACATTGACAAAGAGCCTAACTAAGAAACGTATGGGAAAAGATTCTGTTGATTAATAATATTTTCCAGAGCTCACAGTGTTTGCAGGCATAAGATTTGTGGAGTGTGAGCATTTTGAATATCCATATATCGATAATTTGCTTGTATCAAATTCTAGATTCTTCCAAAGATAGGAGTGGACGGATCAAACAGTCTACCAGTATGTTCCACATAGCTATCAATACCGTGGCCCAATAATTTAATTTAATAAATAAGGAAACATTACCAAAGCATATGAATGAAGATTAATCTCCTAAGAAGGCAAATCTTAGAATCGAAGAGGGTAACATAATAACAATAACAATAACAATAACAACAACAACAATAATAATAGATAATAATTAGAAGGATAAGAAATAATGAAACCCTAGAGTACCAGAACTTGAACTCAGGGAGGCGGCGAACGAAAGGGCGGAACTCCTCGGATCCTCGAGTGGGGAGGGTGGGGCCGTCGTGAATCTCGGGATCGACCTGAGGGGAGAGGAAACCGATGAGGAGGTTGAGGATGTAAATGCCGAGAGCGTAGGAGACGATGTAGAAGCCTTGGACCAAGTAGACGCGGAGGACGTAGACGGAGGCCACCACCAAGCAGCCTATCCAACGGCGGAGAACGTGAGGGGTAGTCTTGTCCAGAATGTGCTGATACTGCCGAGACACCGCGAATTTCCATCGCGATATGGCGGCTTCCGGTGAATGATCGTCGGCGGCTCCTGCGTCCATGAAGTTGTGAGTTTGACTTTTGGAAATGTGTGTAAGTGTGTGCAGATTCCAATCAGATGCAAATGCAAATCATGCAATGTCCCTCTTTTCGCCTCCCTTTCTTTCCTTCCCTCACATCTCGCCCCGGTTCGGATGTTGAACCGGATTATATAGGATGCATTGTGCAACCCCATTTTCTAAAATGAAAACTATAATTATAATCATTCATATTTTTAAAAAATCTTTATCTAAGCGTTTAGAGTTGTATTCCAACAAGTAATAATGATAGAATTTTATTAAAAGATAGATATTTATTATATTTTTATAATTTTAACATTATAAATATGTTTATATTAATATTTTAAAAGCTTTTTGTTATACTTACAACTTAATTTTAATAACTAAACTAAACAACAAATATATTTTAATTATAGATTAATGATTTCTTAATATATATTAAAGGATATATGTTAAAAATATTAAATGTTTTAATTTATCATTAAAAGCATGCGTTGAATGTTTTTATGATTTTAAGATAATACATATTTTTTATAAAATTTTTATCGCATATTCTTGAATATGTTTTAAAAAAATAATAAATAAATAAATAAATAAATGAATACATAGAATATATTATAAAGTGTATTATCATTAGTTAAGAGAATTAAATTTAACGTATTATTATGTGTATAATGAGTTTTTAATTACTTTTGTTAATAAATATTATGGGCTTATTTATAAAATTGTTATTTATTCTTTATATTGACTGTTTTAAGAAAATAAACTAAAGGGAAGTTGAGATAATAAAAAAGTTAATTTCTCTCTCTCTCATTTTTGTTGTGTCTCTAAAGTTGAGACTTTAGAGGAGAAGTGACTTTTATTATATTTACTTAAATGACTTAATTATATTGAGATTGTTTTAAAATTTTATTTATTTTTACATTATTTTAAAGATTTGTTTTTCTAAAATGGAAAAAGCATAAATTTATTAAAAAAAATTATAAATGAAAAAAAAAGTTAAAGTCTATTCACTGTTAATTTAATATTAATTAAATTTACAACATACTTAAATTTAAATTAAAGGTGAGTAGATAAATCTCACATTTTCATCTTACATAGTTAAATCTTTATTTTAAGATCCTTGTATTTTTTTAATTAAGAAATAGTTTTTCGTTAAACCAGGTTTTTTTTATCTAATATATCTTTTAAAAATATTTATTTATTTTTTATTTCAACATTAATTATTTAAAAACAAGTCATTATTTCTCTTAATTTAATTTAAGCTAAATCAAATATGCTAAAAACCGCATTCATATCTACAGTCTTACGCAAAAAAAAAAAATTATATCTAACCGACACATTAAACACTTTATTTGATTGCAATTTTAGTTTTAATTTAATGATAAAACCATGGATTGTGAAATAAGCAATAACGGTCTATATCTGTTCACATGAATCTCTGATCATCTGTTGGCGAGCTGTTCATTTTATTCTCCCTCGGATTTCCAAAGTTAAATTGCTGAACACTCAAATCAGACTGCATTTATCTAAATCCCAAACTGCCAAATCACGTCCTTCCCCTTCACAATAATCATTATTCCCTGCGAACAGATCGACGAGTGTGCATCGTCACCGACTCACCGGTAAGCGATTCACTACTCCTGCATTTTTCATTTTTCATTTTTCGTATCTACGATGCGAACGTGCTTCTGCATTGTTTACAAATTACAATTATCGCTTTGTTCAATGGTAAATCAGCTCAATCTGTAGCGGTGAAGCCTCCATTTTCAGATCCCTCTGTTTTGATTTCAGACGATGATGGTTCTTCACTGTTTTGATTCAATTTATGTCCCAATCTGGTTAATTTATGAGAGTGCCGGTTTGATTCTGAAATTAATTAGCTTATGAAGATTAATTTTACCACCAACCTTCTATGGTATCAAGTTTTATATTTAATATTTAGCTAGTTAATTTGTTGTTAGCTGCTTAAACTGCATATAGCTTAGATTGGTTTTCCACTTTGCAGATTGGGTGACTCATGGAACCAGCATCTACTGATTCTTCAACTCAACCTACTCCTTCAGTTTCTAGTACTGAAGAACATCACTCAACCAAAGTATCTGGACAAATTAACAGTGTAATTGATTCACCATCTTCGTTACCCGCTTCTGGCATATCATCATGGGCACGATTGAAAATCCCACAGGCCTTTGGGCTTGGAGCAGCACAACAGGACTCACAGACTGAAAACAATAGCATATCAGCTTTCGCTCGCCTCACTGGTGGGCTTGGATTGCGAATGCCGTCAACTGGAACTGTTCCAGCCAACTCTGGAGCTGAGCAACCTAATTTAATTGAATCGTTCACCAAAGGGTTGGTGGACTCTTCCAAGAGTGCAGTAAAGGCAGTGCAGGTTAAAGCACGCCATATGGTCTCTCAGAATAAACGCAGATACCAGGTCAGTTGATAATTATTGCATTTGGTTCGGTTTTACCTTTATTATTACTCCCATGCCACGGTTAAATTGTGTAACTGATCTATGCTATCATGTCCATATCTGCTGGTTGAGTTACTTGCAGCTGTGTGAATAACGGTCACTACATGCATGGTTTGCTTTTGTCAATTTTCCCTCTTTCTGTTGATATATTTTGTGTCAGGATTGTGTCATTATTTATCTGTTTTGACAGCAACTTCAATTTAAAATTGATTGCACTAATAGGCGCATCATCTGAATGATACTATTAATTCTACAAACTATGCTGTTCTATTTTCTATTATATTATAAAATATCTCACACATCATTTATCTCTTTTTCCTGTTTGCATTTTTTTTTACATGGAATGCTTTGCATTTTCATTTTTTCAAAATGTTTTGTAAGGTTTCTTCCTCTTGGCGTGCTCCCTTAACATTTTAATTTGTTAACATTGTACAAAAGGATTAGATGATCTTTTTGTATTTTGCAAGTGATATACCTAATTGTTAAAACCATGTATCCTCTTGCATTCTCTATAACAGTTCTGGACAATTTTGTCAGGTGTTAAAAATAGTATTGCCCACAAATTTTCCTTAACAACATTTATGCTATCAAGTTAAATATGCTGGGTTTTGATCTCAACCTCATCATCAACATTGCTTATTGCTGTTTATCAATCAAATAGTTCACACAATCTAGCAAAACTTTATGCATAATCCTTTTCTGTGCATGTATGGATATGAAACAAGCACAAGAAAAAATCTTATTTTTGAAATTATGTGCAAACTAGAGTTGAAAAAATTTTAGTATAAGGGTGTGTGCTCAAAATATCGTGCTTTCCAAGTAGCTGTCTAGAATCTCCTCCTATTGAAGAGTTGTTCTGTATTCTCACATCCTTAATAAGACAAAAATGTGATTTTTGCCATCATGACTGAGATGGTCACTCTCTTTATTTTATCTAATGAAGAATCAAATTAGTGGTGTTTAGTTAATGCATTATATTTTTGCATATCTAATACTGTATCATATACAAACTAACATTGTTCTATCAAATTTATTATATTTTGAAAAGGAACAATACTAACTTTTCTGAAGAATTGACTCATCTTACATGTTGATTTCATTTTTCTTTTATTTTAATATTTTTAATTCTTATTCTTTGTAACAGGAAGATGGATTTGATTTGGATATGACATACATCACTGAAAATATAATTGCTATGGGATTTCCAGGTGGTGATTTTAGCTCTGGAATTTTTGGATACATTGAGGTATACTAATACACCGTCAGTCTTGTCTCTCATGTTCAAGCCATGAAGGATCATTCAATTATGTTTTAAGGGAGAGCTGTGTTGCAGGGGTTCTATCGCAATCACATGGAAGAAGTGATCAGGTTTTTTGAGACACATCACAAGGTAATATAATATTTGTTGCAATCCTGGGATCCTACTATCTGCTCATGCTGTAGAACTTCAGAAATTGAGAGTGAAAATGATGGTCAAAGAAATCTAGAACAGAGACGAAGAGTACTTTTCTTTGGGTTAGCAGCCTGGGAATATAGAAGAAAACATTAAATAAGAAAATATGAATTATCACAGAATCCCCAATTTAAAACAAATCCTAATCTTTCGAATCGACAAGATCAAGCCATCTAAAGTAAAATAAAAAGAAACTGAAAGATATTAATAAAATATAAAATTACACTGCTATATAACTTACACTAAGGGTATTGTGTACAACATTCATCTACAGTAGCCCAAACAGCTACCGGAAATTTAATTATAATTGACAGTGATCTTGAACTCTTCTGCTAAATGTAAAGAAATACTTGAAGATTTTGAAATTCTCCCAAGGTCCAACTTGTTCTACAAGTATAAGCAATTATTTATCCATTCTTCTTATGTCATTAAGTGGTTTGCTACAGCAATTACTTTTTGCTTGTAACTTTACGTGCTGAGTGTTGACATTTTATCTATTATCTTTTGACAATTTTAGTATCTTGAAACCTTGATGTGCAGGGAAAGTACAAAGTATACAATCTTTGTTCTGAAAGGTTATACGATGGATCACTATTCCAAGGGAAGGTGTGGTATTAATCTTTTAGCACTCTAATTGATGTAACGGGATAGATGGGTGATAATTTTGATGGTTACCTTTCATTTACCTTTCTTTCTAGTCTATTGTGCACAGCACTTGTTCATTATATTAAGTGCACATGTTCTTTATGTTCAACTTATTTCAAATTGGAAATACCAATAATAACAAATTTCTTCTAATATTTTATAGAATATATATTCTAATATTTTTATATTCTATTTTTATAGAAAATCCTCTTTTGTGGAAATATTATCCTTGTCTTTGTTTATGTTTTGAATTGGAACAAATTACTAGAATTCGCCCTCGCCTGTGAATTAATCGACATTTTTCACAAATTTTACAGACGGAGGCTCCTATTTTCATATTTGTCAAAGTATATTATACTTGTTTGTGAGTTGCAGGAATTCTCTGTCACAGAAAACATCACATGGAACTTAAAAGAATTGTATATAAATTTGTAGACAATTTTCTAGTTTTAACTGTTGTTATGTTAGCAGATTTCAGAAAGAAAGAAAAAAAGGAATAGGCCACAATTTTTTATTATCAAATTATTATGATATTCTTGTTTGTCCCCTTAACTTATTCAAATGATTTTCAGGTTGCAACTTTCCCATTTAGTGATCATAATTGCCCTCCTATTCAACTTATAGCATCATTTTGTCGAAGTGCACATTCATGGTTGAAGGAGGATATTCAAAATGTGGTGGTTGTTCATTGTAAAGCTGGTATGGGAAGGACTGGACTGATGATATGTAGTCTTCTTCTATTTCTTAAGGCAAGTCTTGATGATAAATTCAAAGACTTCGGTTGTAAGTTTTGTGCATTTTTTCCTCTTCAAATTTTGCAATTTTTGATTGTCAATATCATTTTGCAGGTCTTCCCAACTGCAGAGGAAGCAATTGGTTACTTTAACCAGAAAAGATGCGTAGATGGAAAGGCTCTAGTTCTCCCTAGTCAGATTGTCAGTCATCAATTTTTCATTTATCGTTCTATATGTAATCTTCTAACATATTCTTCTAAAATCTTTTATTTCTTTAATGTTTTCAGAGATATGTCAAATACTTTGAACGGACTTTAACAAACTTCAATGGAGAAGTCCAGCCTGGACGAAGGTTAGATACAATAATTTCACAAAATACCAAAGTCGAAGAACGTTCTTAATTTGGAATTTGACAGGTGCATGCTAAGAGGGTTTCGGCTTCACCAATGCCCTTATTGGGTTAGGCCATCTATTACAATTTCTGATCATAAAGGTAAGCAGCAAAGCTCATTGCTTCCTCTTCACGTCATTTAAATATCAGCAATATTATATATAAACTATAACGCTGTGTTGGAAAATGTTTCATGGTCTTTTCCCATAGAGATTTTTGTTTATCAAATGACATACCTATTATGGGAATTGATTTTTGAGCAAACTAAAATCACTCAGATTCAAAATTTTTCATGGAGAGAAAAGGATGAATGTATAATGGTGCAATTATGTAAAGAATTGTTTGCAGAAAACTAATGTTGTGACTGATAAAAAGGTGCAGACGGAAGAATAGACATAAAATCAGATGAAAAATAAATAAGTCCTTGATATTCGCTCATTTTCATCTTTACCAAGCATAGCTCGAGAAATTTGAACATTCATACGAGAGTTTGGTTAAGAATTTGATATCTACTGTGTACCTTCAATACGGTTGCACTTTTTAACCTTATAGTGCCTGCATCTTTCCCGATTGAATTTAAACCAGAGTATTTGACGTGTGTTTCAACCTATGCAACTCTTTTGTACGGTGTTTTGTCATGCAACTTGTCAAGTGCTTGCTACTAACAGCTTAATCAACAGAAGACTGATGTTATAACTTATTCTCAGGAATTCTTTTTTCCACAAGAAATCATCTCAAAACGAAGGAACTAATGGTACACATATTTTTATGCCATCTTTTTTGAGTTTCGATGCTCCCCAAAACAAAGCCTTAATGCTAATGTATGGATTTGAATTTGATTACTGAATTTACTTTGGAAACTTATTTGTAGCCTGAAGATTTCTGGATCAGTGCGCGAAAGAAAGGAATTGTGGTCTTCGCACTGCCGGGAGAGCTCGGTTTAACAGAGTTGATTGGGGACTTCAAAATTCATTTTCATGATCGTCAGGGAGATTTCTACTGGTTTGTTAAAAACACCTGTTTCTTTTGGCCCCCACTTAGGGCCAGTGTCTGGTTTTAGAAAACTTTTCTTATTTTGTTATCTGTTTTCACTTTAATTATAAAATTGTTACCTTAATTTCATTTTGTTTTTCCTATTTATATTTGTATAGGAAGCAGTGAAAAAAAATTTTCTATATTGAAAATAGAAATTATAATGAAAACAAAGGCGCAATTTATGATTACACGTAAAAACAGAAAACGTATCTTGAAACCAAGCAGCCCTGAATTTTTTAGCTTTTTCCTCTCTGAATTAGTTCAAAAGGGGAACTTATTTATCAGATTCAGAATTATTGTGTTTGTAGAGTGATTTTGTTATAATCTTTTCATCATGATATCAAACATATATCATGATGAATAGTTTGATTCTAACTGTACATTCATTATTTGTTCTCTTCCAAACAGTGTATAGTATGGAACAGTTTGTTTACAGAGATTAGCAGCTTTCTTGATATATCAGTTTCTTTTCGGCAGTTGGATGAATACAACAATGATAGAAAATCGAAAATTTTTAGATGCTTCAGATTTTGATGGTTTTGACAAGGTGAAAAGCATAAAACCTTTTTTTTTCAATGTTATATTTCGTATGCGTAAGACCTGAGTATCTTAATATTGTTCTGCCCCTCCCCCTATGTACGTCTATTGGTTTATTCTCTGAACTTGATAATAATTTAAACCTTTCGACCGTGCCGTTCAGAGAAAGATCCCAGCTCCAGGATTCCAGGTGGAAGTTGTGATGATAGACTACAATGGCACCCTTCCTGCACGGACAAAAGCCAATCCTACCAGCAAAGGATCTGATGGAATTACAAGCAATGTCCAAGCCAATGCAAATTCTACTACATCTAATTCAAGTCCGACTGAAGTCGCTAAGAACGAAGATGATGATGTATTCTCAGATAGTGATGAAGAGAAGACCCGGGAAACACAAAGCAAGAGTGCAACTGACTACAAATTTATGGCACCTCATCAAGTATCTGAAACCACTACAGACAACGTAGGGATGCTGGCTCATACAACAGATCGATTGTCACTTCAGCACGAGGAACATACACAAAACAATGCTTCCAAAGAATCAACTACAGAAAAAGTTCATAAAATTCAGGCAGGCACTAAAAACACAATCATGGAATCTGGAGGAGCAAGTGAATTCAAGGCAATTGCAGCAGATGCTTCAGTTTTTTCATTTGGAGATGAAGATTTTGAAAGTGATTGAGAGGAAGCAGGATGAGCCCTTGTTCAATTTCAATACTGTTATGAAAGGCAAGAGGCATTATGGAATTCATTGCATTTTACCCCCCAATTTGTTGTCAAAAGAACTTTCCTGTATTTTATTTTTTAAACTTTGTATATTCTTAAGGTTTTACATATTTATATGATTCTTCCGAGTTTCCATATGATGTGCATCAGCGTCATCAACCATTAAAGAACATTGAGTTGAAGTCAAAACAAGCAAATACAAGAAACCAGCGTTTCTTTCCAAGATGACAATGCCGGGTAACAAACCCAAATTTTGGCATGCAGGCAGTGCAGGAAATTCTTTTGCTTATAGAACCAGATAAAGTAGCAAACTGTTTTCCTATCTCTGGGTTCGAAAGGCAACTCTGTCTCAGGTAACTCTAATTTTGCATTTGGAAATAATTTAAATATGCCCATGCTATTATCAATATTGTAGAAAGTTTCAAACCGAACTTATGGCCTGTTTTTGTTCCATAGTGAGTTAATGAGGCTTTTTAATGTTCATTCAGTAAAAGTGGTTCCTAACTTCTCGTGATTATTACACACGCAATAACTAGCAAATATACTCGGTGTTCCAATATTAATGTAGTACTGCGACAAAGCGGAAGAAATAAAATAGACTTCATAAGTTACAAATCTTTTATCACCTTCTACAACAATTAGGATAGGGACATCAATGAGGGTAACAGACAAATGCAATTAACAAAAGAAATACTGGCACATGCACAATTAATAGGGAGAACAAAATTCACAGAGCAACATTGCAAGAGCATGCAATCGACATGAGAATTCGTCTCACGTATTGGCAAGAATGTGTTTGCTTTCTTACCAACATCAAGAAAAGCTGCTACTGGAAACATTTTCACTGCTTGACCACCTTCTGAAGGCACAAGGCACCAAATTTCTACTGGCCAAAAACCCAAACTTTGTTCTGAACCCTGTCAATCGGCTGTTATTACTACTTGACGGAGCATCAGCCACGGTTGTTTGGTTGAGCATTGGTAAAAATTCTACTGTACTATCCCGAGCTCCCCCAGCACCATCGCTTCCACTACCATCCAAAGCTTCAACTTCACTATCATCGTAATTAAACGCCAAAGAAACCCTCTGTTCGCGCACCCACTCTACCCCTTTCCCAGTAATCTTCCTGCACTTTTTCACCTTAACTTTAATCAAATTCGGACAACCCGAAGCAAGAGCCCCAATCCCAGTATTAGATATAGGGCACCCCTTAATGCAAAGCTTCTTAAGTGCAACACATTTAGCAGCAATGCACTCAATCTCCGCATCACCAACGGTTCCAATCCCACAAAGAGCCAACCTTTCCAAATTCTTGCAATTGGATGCAATTGACGCCAAGCTCAGAGAAGTAGGATAAACAGCAATCAACACAAGCTCCTGCAAATTAGGGCAGTGTTTGGCAATGGCAATCAACCCCTCATCACCAATCCTATTAGTCCTCCACCCATCAATGTGAACTTTTCTCAACATTCTACATCGCTCAGCAACTGCAGAAAGCCCCAAGTTGGAGCACTCAGCGGTTTTCACAACGTGCAAAGTGTCCAATCCCAAACAGTTAGATATCCCACAAAGACCCACATCACTAACTTGAATCTTCTCCAAGTGAATTTCAATTAACCCAACGTTGGAGCCTCCAATCCTCTCTAGAGTCTCGTCCCAATCGCCCAAACACCCAATCACCTTCAGAGTTCGAAGCTTCTTTGAGCCAATTATAAGCGGCGCGAAGCTCTGGCCATTAACAAGCTCCTTCAGGCATATAGATTTCAACGACGAAGCAGCGCCACCAATCACTTCGGTGCTGTCGTGGACCCCACGGAGCCGCTTCACCGTGAGATCTTCCAAATTAGCGCATCGATCGATTACAGCGACGATTCCCTTCGTCCCGAACATGCACGAAGCGCACGAGAGCTTCTTCAAGTTCTTGCAGTTATCGCCGACGCCAGCCATTCCAAGTTCCGTTATCTCCCGGCAGCCGCGGAGCTTCAGGCGCGTGAGGTTCTTGCATCGGAGCGAGATTAGAATCAAACCGTCGTTGTTTATGCTCGCGGACTTTCGGTCGCATCGCAGAGCGAGTTTCGTGACCGAGTCGAATCGCGTAAATAGGGAAGGAACGAAATCAAATAATTCTGGTTGAGCATTCAGGGAGAGCCGATGCCGGCTTTCGCCGTCGACGCGGCGCCAGCGCCGGCAAACGAGAGAGCAACGTTTCCGATCGGCGGTGCTGAGGAAATGAAAGATCACTCCCAAGCAATCATCGGGAAGACGGAGCGTGCAATAGCGTTTCACTGTGGAATAATCGGTGAAATCGGCGTCGTTATTTAAATGTAACTGAGAAATTTGGGGGCGGTTGAAGTCCGGCGACGGCACGGCGGCGGTGGACGGTGACTGTCCCATTGAAAACGGTGTGTTTGGAAGCGGCGGAGAGGAATCGAAGGATTTAACAGAGTGCAGCGCGTGGAATTCAAACCCCATTAAAAGGGAGGGGTGCGTGTGGTAATTGCAACCATCGAGGCGAGAGCGAGATTTGCGTGTGGGTTCATGCATCAGAGTCAGCCCATCTACATGGTAGTGGGCTTGCGTGTCTCTCTCGTGTTGGACTTGGCCCCTTTCCAGCTTCTCCTTAAGAAAAGAAAAGTCTCACACTATTTTAATTTTCTTTCTCGTTTATGCAAAAAGATTTTGAGCTGCATTCAAATTAGATAGAGAAAATTATGTCATTTTTTATTATTCTATCTGGGTCAAGCACAAATAAGTTAGGTTATACCAAATAAATAAAAAGTCTTGAGCAATTGTCTCTATCTGTATCTTCTAATTTTATGTGGAATTGGTTAAAAGTATTTCAAAGTGATTACCTGTAATATAAATTATTAAAATATGAAATCAATTTAATCTGTCAAAATAGGTGTGTGTGTGTATATATATATATATATATATATATATATATATTTTATTTTTTTTTATTTGTAAATCCTACTCTATTACCCTTAATTGTAATAAGGAAATAAAAGTGAATTAACAAAAAAAAAATAAAAATCCTTGATTCAAATCAAAACTGATTTATTTGAATCTAGAAATTTAAATAAGTTTCTAGATGACACAATTTGAATCACACAAATTGAAAAATGAGCTACTTTTCGCTGGATTCAACCTTTTTTTTTTCTTTCAAAATTCACTTATATTTATTGAAATTCAGTAAAATTTTACTTTTTCCCCCCTATTTTTACCCCTACACAAACCTCTCAATATATACAATGAATCCTTTTCATTAATGCATATTTCTCCTAATTTCTTATAGAAATATATAAATGAAAAAAGAAAGAAAGTTAAAATATCAAAATAAGAAAGAATATCAGGTATAATTTAATTAAAATTCAAAGGATTTTTTTTTTTTTGCTGTTAACTTGGTTAACTTAGCATGACTTGGTATCACAGCTATTACATTTTCTGAATACTCATATTTGATCAAGTGCAGCTCTTTGGAGTTTTAGCTATCATTAGGATTACTTGTTTTGCACTTGTCAGCCGAATTCTGTTCACATAGCCCAACAAAGACACGTTTATAAGAGCTATAAACAATCACAATGTCGTATAAAAGAAATATTTAAATCTTGCTGACCAAACTTTAATCTAACCTACTTGAACTTAAATATAATTCAAGGTCGAGTCACAAAATTGGCTAAATCAAAACTTCAAAAATAATAATAACTTAAACATCCCGTGCTAACTCATTTCATGTGCATCCTCATATTTTGTCTTATAAATATTTAATTGTTCAGTCACTGTATTCTTAATAAAAGTATTTTCTCTATTTCCATATGATTTCCGATTCAACATTTTGTGGTCAATTTTTTTTTCAAAGGCGTGGGTCCTGTCAATTTCTAGTTGGTTTTTCTCGTGTTGTTTCCGAAATGTGATAGGCGATGGTTCAATATTTTGACAGAAAGGTGAAGGAAAAAGTAGTATCACATGGCCATCATGCCGACATCGGATGGAGATTGCTCCAATTCTCTTGACACCACTCGTTTGCAAGAAAATTTTATATTAATTGCATTCCCTCGTAACGTAATCAGTAAAAGACTCGATGATGTAAAATTACGTGCTGTAGCTAATTTAACAAAAGATAGGTATTCAACAAAAACTTAAAGCAGAAACTCAACAGTACTGTTTCTATTATTCCAAATTCCAAGTAACAGTATCAAAATTGAAATGATCATCAACACCTCACAGGTAAGTCGTTTAAAAACTGTATCCTGTTTTTGCCTTCAAAATCCAAAATACTGCACTTGCTTAGAGTTTTTGAAAACTCGAATTGTAAAAGTAAATATATCTTTTGTAAAAATAGAAAAATCTTAGTTCCTTTAAAGTAAGCTGTCTCATTCTGAATCTGGATTCAGTCTCGAAACTAACGGTTTTATTAGTCAATTTTATATTTTTGCTTTAAGTAAAAAAAATTTACTTCAGCAAAAATATAAAATTTTATTTGATTGGACCGTTCAGTTTCTGTAAAAATAAGACTAAATTCTGATCCGTCTCACTCTATAATGTATAGTGACTATATTCTCACCTTCAAATATTTTAATGGTTGAGATTATTATATATTATTATAATTATTATTGTTAATAAACTCAAAAACTTTTAGAAAATGATATTGTCCCCAGCAAAGCCCACAATTTCTAACACATGCTTCTACTATTTTTTGCAATTTCAACCTCTTCAAAATGGTCTGTTCAAAAGATTCTTATGATAAAACTTTGCCATCTGCATTAAACTATTGAGCTATTGAATTCCTTTCCTCCTTTTGTGTTATTTAAGCAAGAGCGTAAATTGAAGTATCCTTTCCAGTTCCCAGTATATTAAGCGTGTCACAATCAAAACATATCACAAATCGTATGACCAAGCACGGAGTTCCTTCTTGACATTTACTTGAAACTGTTTTCTTTGATAGATCAAGGTGAGAAACATATTTGGGTCAAGTGGGAGCAAGGTTGCTGATATTTCTCTTATTCATGACTTCTTTTGTAGGTTGAAATCTTAGCATTTTAATTGCAAATCACTCAACAACCATAATTTCTTGTTCTAAACTAGTTTTACCTATTTTAAGGTGTCAACTATTTCAATAAATGTTACCTCATGCCTTTAGAAAGAAGTAAAAAGTACAACATTATCACGAGTATCATACTACTTCTTTTTCTGATCGACTACACTTTGTATATACAAATACAATATAAAATTATATGGTTCGTATCTCCGTATCCTATGGTAGCTCATTCTTTAGCAAGCTGTCTAAGAAATATGAAAATTTCCCAAATTATAAAGTTTTTTTCAGAAAAAAAAAAAAGAATTTTATCTTAGTTAAGGTTGATTAGCTATTTATGCTGGGAAAACCTACAAGGATCAAAATTTACTATTTTTTCTTAAAAAAATATTACATTTAATACTATAAGATTGTGACTTTGAAGAATTTGGAGGTAAAGATAAAAGATGCGGAAGAATGTATTGAAATCTTCTTGCCTGAAATTGTTAATATAAGGATCAATATAAAGGTTATTTCTCTCAGCTAAGTAACAGAATTTTGATAAGGTAGAAGGATAACTAACTCTCCAGTACACAAGATAGAAACAAATAATTGATTCCTAATGTCAATGATGACTTAACAAACTTTTTCCTTAACAGCTCCCCTCAAACTCATTGGTGCCATAGTGGTAACCTTGAGTTTGGTCCTAAAATGTTGAAACTAACAACCTTCTACAGGTTTAGTTAACATATCTGCAACCTGATACTGCACTCGAAGATGAATGACTTGAAGTTCATTCTTTCAAACTTTGTCTCTAACAAAGTGTAAGTCCAATTCAAAGTGTTTAGTCCTCGAATGCATAATTAGGTTCGCAATAAAGAAAATAACTCCTAAATTGTCACAATAGACCAATTGCATGGAGTGAGGAATTTGCAGCTCACCAAGCAGAGAATGCATCCACACAAGTTCAGCAATCACGGCTGCAACACCCTAATATTTAGCCTTAGTGCTGCTCCTAGAGACTGCCTTTTACTTCCTTGACGACCAGGAGATGATGTTAGACCTAGATAGACACAGTAGACAGTTGTGGATTTTCTCTAATCAGGATTAGAATCCCAATCTGAGTCACAGAAGCCAATAATATTGAAATTGTTAGACTTTGTAAGATGTAGACTATGATGAATAGTGCCTTGAAGGTATCAAAGTTAGCCTCAGTGCTGCTCCTAGAGACTGTCTTTTACTTCCTTGACGACCAGGAGATGATGTTAGAGCCTAGATAGACCCAGTAGACAGTTGTGGATTTTCTCTCATTAAGATCAGAATCCCAATTTGAGTCACAGAAGCCAATAATATTGAAATTGTTAGACTTTGTAAGATGTAGACTATGATGAATAGTGCTTTGAAGGTGTCACAGAAGCCAATAATATTGAAATTGTTAGACTTTGTAAGATGTAGACCATGATGAATAGTGCCTTGAAGGTATCAAAGTATCTGTTTAACGGCTCTCCAATGATGTTCCTGTGGTTGATGCATGTACTAACACACCTTATTCACAACAAAAGCCAAATCAGGAGGAGTGATTGTGATATACTGCAAAGCACCAACTACATATCTGTAGAAGGATAGGTCAGGAACATAATATGAGCCATGTGTAGTGAGTTTGAGGCTAGCTTCCACAGGGTGGGCTGAGGTTTAGAATTTGTCATGTTGGCTTTGTAAAGAAGCTCCCTGATATATTTGGATTGTGATAGGAAAAGTCCTCATTCTTTAGTATGAGTAACTTCAATCCCCAAAAAATAATGTTATGGACCAAAATCCTTGAGTGAAAAAAGGTTATGCAGACATGAAATGATGGACTCAATTTTAGATGGTGAACTCTCAGTGATAATGATATCAGAGAATGAAAGTAGTGGAGTACTTGGTAAACTGCAAGAATAATGAAATATCATTCTTGAAAGAATCGAAGCCCATTCGATACAAAGCTTGGCTCAATTTTTGGACCCATAACCGAGGAGCCTGCTTGAGACCATAGATTGCCTTGTGTAAGCGAAAAACCTTGTTCTCGTTAGAGAAAAAATCAAGAGGCTACTTCATATAGACCGTTTCAAAGAGATATTCGTGTAAGAAAGCATTGTTAATGTCTATTTGTCGGATTTGCCAATTGGAAGAAATTGCTTTGGTGAGAACAATTTTAATAGTAGCAGTTTTCACCACAAGATTGAAAGTTTTTGTGAAATCATGGCCTTATTTTTTATGAAAACCCTTGGCAACCAACCTAGCCTTGTGTCTTTTGAAAGACCCATCAACATTATATTTGGATTTAAAAATCCATTTGCATCCAATAGCTGTATAGTTAGGGGGAAGATCAATAAGAGACCATGTGTTGTTGGACAA